GATAAAAGCCATTTTTAGATCCTCTTCCTGCCCCTTGTGCTTGTGTGTCACAATTTTATGACTTTCTTAGAGTACAGAGTGGCAGGTTTTTATGAAATACAAATCTGAATTCTGTTAAATAATACAAGAGAAAATGTCATTTTCCCACAATCTTCTCAGACCTATATTCGTGAACTTATTTATTCAGCAAACATTTACTGAATGCCTACTAAGTATCAAGCCCTAGGTGGGCACTAGGGAGACAGATTTTTCAAGCCACATTTACTGTTTTCAGAAAGCTCGCAGTCTCATGCACAGACACACAAGTAAGTATGTGATAGTATGATAAAGGTATACCCAAAGTATAACAGTATCCACAGAGTGGTTTCCAGGGTTAATTTCGAGTTAATCTGGAAACCCTAAACAAGCAACTACACCATGAATCTTAATTTCAGAATCTTAATAAATAGATAATTAGAGAAAAACATTTAAATAAAAGTAAAGCCCCTGTTGAGGGTATAATAGTAAAATTTGTGCTTCATGCTTCGTGTACGTCAGTATGTTGTATAAAAGTTCAATTCTTGGGCGCCTGGGTGGCTCAGTTGGTTAAGTGACTGCCTTCGGCTCAGGTCATGATCCTGGAGTCCCGGGATCGAGTCCCGCATCGGGCTCCCTGCTCGGCAGGCAGTCTGCTTCTCCCTCTGACCCTCCCCCCTCTCATGTGCTCTCTCTCTCTCTCATTCTCTCTGTCTCAAGTAAATAAATAAAATCTAAAAAAATTAAAAATAAAAAATAAAGTTCAATTCTTTTTGCTAAAGATTTGACCAAAATTACGACATCTTCTTTTCCTTTTAATCTGAAGACGTTATATTTATTTTACTTTTATTTTTTTAATGGAACGCTTCACGAATTTGCATGTCATCCTTGCGCAGGGGCCATGCTAATCTTCTCTGTATCGTTCCAGTTGTAGTATATGTGCTGCTAAAGCGAGCACAGGAAGTTTTATTTATTTATTTTTTTTACAGTGAAAGAACATTATAAATTTACCTGGTTAACATAGATTTACTTAAAACTGGTCCTCAACCATATTGGCATTTGAAAGATCTATTTTGTTTATTCCCAGATGGTAATATTTTAAAGATAAATTATAAACAAGACCTGTATTTTGTCTTGGTAAAGTAGAGCATGATGTTTGTTCTTTTAAAAAAGAAAAAGATTTTATTTTTAAGTAATCTCTACCCCCAACCTGGGGCTCAAACTTACAACCCCAAGATCAAGAATCGCATGCTCTGCCAACTGAGTCAGCCAGGCACCCCGATATTTGTTCTTAATGTTCTAAAATCATTTTCAGCATCAAAGATGTTGGCCCTCACACTATTTGTAAATAATCTGCATCAGGGCCTAATTGCAAAAAATAGCAAATTATCCCTTTCCATTATTAGTCTTAAAATGTGTTCAGAAAGTCTGGGAGCCAGGTATGGTGCTCGTTTTCAAAGGGACAGCTATTTGAAGGGAAAGTATAACCAACAGACAATATACCCAGTAAAGTTGATAATTTAATTTGTGCTTCTCAAGTCACATTTCCCTCATTTTAAATTGCTTCATTGTTTAAGTTGTCTTCAGAATTATAAACTTGTTTTATGCAATGGAATTGAATATTTTAAAATTCATTTTCCTGTGCATTTGAAATGGATGTCTACTGTTAGACTAAAATTTTACCTCATTTTGTGGTCTCTCACATAATATTTGAAGAGTTTTAGTGTGTGGATAGGTTATGAAGTTGCTGTGGAAAACTAAGAGTTCTATTATAAAATGAAAAAAATTTAAGCTGGAATAAAGAATTATACTGTTATCGTTATGTACTATTTTTGAAGTAGATTAAAATTTTGGACCTATTCAGATTAGCTTTTAAAGTAGCATTATTGGGGCACCTGGGTGGCTCATTCGTTAAGCGTCTGCCTTCAGCTCAGATCATGATCCCAGGGTCCTGGGATTGAGCCTCGCATCAGGCTCCCTGCTCAGTGGGAAGCCTGCTTCTCCCTCTCCCACTCCCCCTGCTTGTGTTCCCTCTCTTGCTGTGTCTCTGTCTGTCAAATAAATAAATAAAATCTTTAAAGTAGCATTATTTTTTCCGAGGGGATGGGGAAAAAATAATAAAATAGCATTAATTTAGAAATATACCTTAGTGAGTTATTGAATTAGCTATGTGTTAATTAAAATCACTATGATTTTGAATTTTAACTTTTCCAGTGTATTCCAATATTCTTGGTTTAAAAATTTAGCAAATATAATGTGACTTTTAATTTGCTAAGCAAGATCCTAGCCCACAAGTATTAATTTTTATCTGAGAGAAAACACACTAATAATATTAAAATTATACATATTTGTACATGAGTATGTTTCACATTATTCTGTTAAGTGAACTGTGTAGATTCTAGTGTCACTACTTATCTTTGTAAGTCAAGTTATTACAATTTGAAACTGAGCTGCTACCTCTCAGTCAGTGAACTTAATGTTAGCTAATTAATAATCACCAAACTTTGACTTCTTAAGGCCTCCTATAAAACCACAGGACCCTACCTAGTTTGTCTCATCTGATTGCTGCCATTTAGAAGCTTCTTGTTTTTCTGGGACTGTAATATTAGGTAAGATCAATTTTGGAGAGGGGCGCCTGGGTGGCTTAATTGGTTAAGCGTCTGCCTTCGGCTCAGGTCATGATCCCAGGGTCCTGGGATTGAGTCCCGCATCAGGCTCCCTGCTCAAGTGGGGAGTCTGCTTCTCCCTCTCCCTCTGCCCCTCCCCGCCAACTCGTGTTCTCACTCACTCTGCTCTCTCTCTCTCAAATAAATAAAAATAAAAAAATCTTTTAAAAAATCAATTTTGGAGATAAATGTAACTTATTAATAAATATCCAGCAATGTGAATGGCAGTAGATCCCAGTACCTTCCTCCCTAGAACCTTAAACCTAGTGCATAAATCCTAGTCCCATACCTGATCTCTCTTTGCCCTATAAAATAAGAGGTTAGATTTCCTGGGAACTAATATAGAAGTTTTAATTGGCCTATCAAGGTTGGTTGGTTGTTCTTTTTTTAATCTCAAAAATATGGGTTGAGGTACATTTTTAACCTATAGTACTATCTAACAGAACTAATTGCAGGGCGTCTGGGTGGCTCAGTCGGTTGAGCGTCTGCCTTCGGCTCAGGTCATGGTCCCAGGGTCCTGGGATCAAGCCCCGCGTTGCATTGGGCTGCCTGCTCAGTGGGAGGCCTGCTTCTCCCTCTCCCACTCCCCCTGCTTATGTTCCCTCTCTCGCTGTTTCTCTCTCTGTCAAATAAATAAATAAAATAAAATAAAAAAACTGCAGTGATGGAAAGGATTTATATCTGCACTTTTCAGTATGGTAGCCATAGTTAGTGGCTGCCTTAAAACATAGCTGGTGTGACTTGGGAACAGAATTTTACATTTTATTTAATTTAAATATCCATGTGGCTACTGGCTATCTTATAAGACAGCATAACAATAGAATATCCTTGAATTGGACATATATGTCCTCAATGGCATTAAAGGTCCCTTCATTATTTAAAAACAAAATAGACCTCAATACAGTAAATTGAAAAAAAAAATTTCTAAATATAGATGTAATGGTAGATGCCTTCCTAACATTCTGGAGCATTCTAAATTTATAAATGGAAAAAGAAAATCAGCCCAATGGTAAATTTAATCTTGGCTCTTGACTTTTACCTAAAAACCTGGATATAAAAATTTAATTTCCCTGAAGAATATGTGTCTTGACTTTTAAAAATTTTAGATGATATAATAAAATTTTGTGTTTCTAAACCTCTTCAATTTTTGTTTTCTGTTGAAAGAGCAAACAATTATTTAAAAAACATTTATCAGGTAGTCATAGACAAAATGCAAAACTGACTTCTCACAGATGGTTTCTCCTAAAACCCTAGGGCAATAAGGGAATTAATTTTTCCTTCCCCATCCTGAACATGTACTATTTAAAAATCCCCCATGGTTGTACATGTTTTTGAGCTATTATTATAGCATCTTTTTTCCTGAAGGGTTAAGAGCTACTTACTGACTGACCACTCCATCTTTTATAGAGAAAAGCATCACCCTTTGAAAGCATTTTCCCCTTTAAAACTCATTTAAATTGCATTTAAGAAACATCCATTATTACCCTTCCAGGGAATGTTATTTTTCACTGGGCGTTACAACAAGATTAATTATCTCTGCCTATCAAGAAGCACAGATTTGATTAAATCAGCCAAGGACATTAAATGCTAGCCTTACTCACTCTAGTGACCATATCGAGACTGAGTTGAGGAAGAATTTGTGAAAGTATCATTTGGTTAAAATTGCATGCCTGTCTCTTTAAATCTAAAAAAAAATCCTTTCAGAAGCTGTAGAGAGAAGGTGCTAGAACTGTGTACGATCATGACTGGAAAGCAGGATCCCTCAGTGACTGCCGAATCTTCCCAGCACAAGATAGAGAGGCAGTTCAGCACAAGCCTACACTGGTTCTAGGCAGAACGATGATCCTACCGAACAGATCTCAAATAAAATTAAATTGAGAAAGCAGATCTTTCAAGGGAATGAGGCGGAGGCTCGCTTTTATGTTAAAAGCAACCAGCATCCTCCTTGCTAGACATGGACATGACATTTTTAAAGGAATTATTTGGTTACAGCGTTTTAAGCAAACTGTTCTAAGGAGTCTGTACATTGCATTGTTTTTTCTATTCTTTTTTTCTTTTGCATATATGTAATTCTGGAGGTAAAGAAAAAGCCTGCCAGGGATTCAGAAGGCATCCCACTAGCGATCAGCTGACATTCCTAACTGAAGGCTGCAATGTGTTGCTTATTCATTTTGTACCGTGGGAGCTGCGGGGACTAGCAGAGAGCTAAACTATGCATTTCAAACAGCAGTGCTTGTGCAGAAAGAGGGGTGAGAGAGAGGCAGCCGGCGAGGAAAGAGCACAGCTGGACTTTCTCCTTGTTTTTATCCATTTCTGCAGGATCATGTATTCATAAGGGATGAGGCGGGCCACGGCGATCCCAGGCCTGAGCCGCGGCCTACCCAGTCAGTTCAGAGCCAGGCCCTCCACTACCGGAACAGAGAGCGCTTTGCCACGATCAAATCAGCATCTTTGGTAAGCAAACACCCCTCTACCCACCTTCCCTTCCTTCCCCTCCTCCCCATCTGGCAGCCTCTCGCCCTCCCTGAGCCTCTGTCGGCTTCATGGATGGGAGGAAAGGAGTCAAGAATGTTTTCTCCCTCCTAATAATTTTATTCATTTTAGAAAAAATCTGTTGGCATGGCAACCTGATCTCAGATATTTTAGCATTGTCTACGGCATGGAAAAAAAAAAACCTTTGTGTGTGTGTGTATGTGTGTGTGTATTTATATATGCTGTATGTGCAAAATAAAAGGCCTTTAAGATGAAGTTGCTAACCTATCCAATTTTTTAAAAGCTATTTGTCTTTTCATTGAAATAATAATGCTAAAAAAATTTTAAAGGTATTTGATGTGCAGGGCACTATGCTTCTTTTTGTATAGATGCAAGTGTGTTTGTAATGTATACACACATATCAAAAGATAAGACACAATTTTTTTAAATATATCACTGCTAGCTAATGTATGTAATTGTAGAAAATAAGGTACTAGCTTCCTAGGGATGAATTGCTGGTTCGTTCTGGTTCATTCATTTATTTATTGCAACAATGGTAGTGGCTGCATTTCCCCATTTAACCCCTGAAGAATTTCCTGGCACAAATAAAGCAAGAAGGGCTTTGTAGGAGAGGATATGGATGGTTGTGGAAGAAAAGATACTGTAGGATCCTTCAGCATTTTTACTATTGCAAATGTGATTGCTGGATGCCCTTGTAGTAGCAAAAGGGGTGTGTGCTGGAAGAGTTAGTTTCCATGCCTCCTCCCCTTGGCCCCCCACGCGTGCGCCTGCGCGCTCCCATACTCACACACACACACTCACATCGTTTCATCCTTGGCACTCTAAACTCTCTTTAATCTTTTGCTTCTGAATCTCGCTTCTCGGCCAGAAAAATTATTGAAATTTTCGTTGTTTTGCCCCGATTGATGTTAGAGGTCACATGGGCAGGAAGAGTTAGTGTACGCTGCCTGGCTATTACATTTAGAACCTGTGATGACATCATCCGAGGCCGACCCAGAAATTATTTTTCTTGCCCTATTTTTTAAACCTGATTTCCACTTTCATCTCTCAAGTCTTTCAAAGGCTTCAATTATCTTTGGAATCGATAATGGATTATAATCTTTAAAAACGCAAATATGAGGAAAATGGAAGTTAAAGCACCTACATATTGCTATGCCTGCTGCTATCTAAAAGCAAGCATTTTAATTGAGACTGCTTATCAATAAGCCTACCTCTAAGTTCCTTTGTATAGAAGTTTCTTGTCATCTCTTAATGGGCAATTTTTCATTTTAAATGAACGTTATACTGTGTAATGGAGATACAAAAATGTCCACTGTGTATTTGCTAACGATTGCTAAGCACCTAAAGAAAAAACATACTTTTGAGTCTAAATAAAGCACCATGAAATTAATAAATATCTTTATGTCATGATACCTGACCAAAAAAAAAAATTTTTTTTATTTTATTTTATGTAATATTCTTACTTACCACCGACTCTTGTGAGACTTGTATCTTTATCCAGACATGTTCATGTTGAAATGAGAGGAGAAATGGTGAGCAGCCACTGAGACTCAGAGCACCAGAAGCAGGTTTTTGAATGTGAAACAAACATTATACCAAGTGAATTTTCCCCCTCTGAGACAGGTTCTCATCTTTTGTCACTTGCCACACCCTCATTCCCACATCATATATTCATGACCTCTCCTACCTCGTAGTAAGATGTTACTACTGCCGTACCACAATAATCTCATGCTTGCATTTGTATACTCACCCAGGGCTACTCTGTGTGCCTATCAGCCATCCTAGTCTTCTCTGTGATAGGCCACCTCAGGACTATAGGCAAAGTCCTTAGGAGCCCCTCTGAATCCTATAGGCTTCCTAGTACCCAGCCAGAGAATAGCTAAGATCAGTCTCTGATGGACGTTGGATTTGCTAAAAGGCTCCCTGCCCCTATATTAAGTTAAAAACTGAGTAGCTACTGGGCTGTTGCAGTAATCACTATAAAATAAGTTGTTTTATGTGGAAAACCTTCTCCAAATGTAATGCTTTGGGGGTCATGGTGGGATTGATGGAAGTTTATCAGAGGTCAGTGGTATTTGCATCTAGTGCTTGTTAAGAAAAAAGCACTAATAGAAGGGAAAAGTGGTATGATGTTATATGTTGCATGTCTCACTTTGGACAATCTAATTATTGGTGTGGATATTTTAATGTATCTTATCAAGTACTACAGTTCTACTACCAATGTCGTGTTAAAGGCTAGTTCCAATAGTCCAATAGGAATATATAAATCAGGACACTGGAATATCAAAAAGAAATATCTAAATTTTAAAAGTATATCATGAATCTTAGTGCTTTTCATGGACCTCAGCTCAAAAGAAAAGGACTAAAGTTACTTAAATGACATAAAAGTAGGAGCAATATCATGGGAAAATGAAAGTCCAGTATAATGAATATCAAGTCATTGTTAAAACCTCTCTTCGCTTCCCATAGTTGGTAGCAATACTGTATTGACTTATTTATTTTGGTTTTACTCTTTACAATCTTCTAAATAGAAGTGCTAACACGACACAGAGTGATTCAAAAGTGAACAGCAAAAAGAAAAAAGAATTTAGAAATTATTTTTTCCAATTATTAGATAAATGAGTGTATATTTTTTAAATGAGCGTATATTTTAAATAGACTTGCAAACTGACAAAAAAATTTTATAGTTCCTTAAATTTGTTTTATCAGCCTACCTCTTATGCATAAACCTAAAAGAGACCTAAATCTGTGGGATTTGCCCTTGGCATTTTTTCTACATTGTGCTTTTGAATGGGGTCATTGACAAGTGTATGCAGCCCATGGGTTACAGGCTTTTACTGCTTGATGTTTTTACCATTTTGGCACCTTAAAACAGATTTTTATGTTAATACGCACTGCTGCACAATTACATTTGTAACAAAGGAATAGCAAGGACCGTGAACCTTGATATCAAAGGGAACTCTGAGGAAACTTTAGAATTATGTAGAATTATGTATCTTTTTATTATAATCATAGAAGGGCAGCAATTATTGACCTTATTTTGAAAAACTAGGAAAAGGAAGGGCATTTCATAGAACCTTTTTTATTTTATCCTTTCTTTTTCTTCTGTAAGAAAGTTCATATTGGACTGATTCATGATCTGGAGAAAGGAGTTGTTTATATAGTTCTTCAGAATTACTCACCTGCCTTATTGGGCCTTTGAGATGTGGCTCCCTTAAGTTTTTATTGTTGGTAAATGGAGATCTTAATATTTTAATTGGATTACTAACCCATGAGAGTGTTTTCAGCTGTTGTTATATCTGATGTCATTTCTTAAAATTTCATAATGTCCTGGATCATATGGTAGTTCCCATAGCAGATGTTAATATAAAGAGCACAAGCCCATATCTGTCAGACAATTCAGCTTTTGGCCTTATGAAGGAATTCTCACAGGAATGAGTGGTCTTACTACACAGGTGAATTTATGTTAGAGTACATATTGGCCCCGGGAGGACGGGGGAGCTCCTGGATGGCTCATTCGATAGAGCATATGACTTGATCGTGGGGTTGTGAGTTCAAGTGCCATGTTGGCTGTAGAGCCTACTTAAAAAAAAATACACATTAGGGACAGGGGCATAAAAACTCTAAGTTTCTAATCTTTAGGAAAGCATGTAGACAAAAATGATTATTGTCCTATCCATGCAAATGCGGATTTTTTTTTTTACTTCGCTTTTACCACATTCAGTAGGAAAGCTCATATAAAAATGGAGTCTTCATTTCGATTTTAAAAATGCAACCTAATTTTCAGCTAATTGTGAAATTGGATACCTGAATGAGTTTGATAGATAAGCATAAAAATATTAGAGCCTCTGCAGTTTAATGCTGTTTGACCCCTCATGAGCCCCACTGTTCTATTTCTAAAGGCTTGAAGATGTCTTCTCTTCCTGGATAGTATACCAGAGGATGCTTATCAGAATATTTTGTAGCTCCTTTTTCCTTTTTCTTAGCTTCTTAATCTCACTAGGCTCATTACTGAGACTGTTTTTCACATATGCTGCCCAGTCTATATGCCCAACCCACATGACCGAACTCTCTCAATAAACATGTTGAATTAATGAATGAACAAATGAATGAACAAAGTCTCTTCCAGTCCTGCTATCACATGAGAATCTGGATTTGCAAGTGTACATTTCTAAGTGCTTCCTGCCAGTGTTTCTGTATAAGGCAGAATTGCCTGTTATCCATCATTACTTTTGGTATGAACTTAATATGTTTTTCCCTAGGTGTTCTAAAGAGTGGAATGTGAAATTTCTAATGTCAAAACGTGACCCACTGTATTCTTTTTAAGAACTTGCTATAAATTTCATTTATTCTAAGAGTTGAGGTGGCCGGTTTTATCACATGCATTATTTTGATTCTTACACATAATTAATCTTGTAAGTTGGCTTTGATCTCTTAAGAGGGTAACATTATCAGCCACTATGCTCCTCTTTTATGTTCAGTAAGTTGCTTATTAGCCCTCTAGTGCAGTGCTCTGCACTTGGTAGACAGATAGTACACTTTGGATGTAGTCATGTGTTGTAGGTGCAAATTTCTGCCAGATTTAAATAAGGTGGAATGGAATGGCTGTAGAAACTTTCTGGGAAAAGTTCAGTCTTCCTTTATGGCTCTTAACTTTTATATATTACTCCAAGTATGTGAAATGGTTAATAATTCAAATTCAGAAATTATGCGTACTTATTTTATAAGCCACAACCTGGATATAAGTACAGTTTTAATGTTAAACTTGCCCTTTCTCTTGGATCCACCCCTTCTGATCTATGTCCATATCACTGGCAATGCTTGGTGGAGGGAGAGACATACTGCTCAGATGCTGGCAGGACAAGGAAGGAAATCAACATATATCAAACATCCCCTGTGTGTCAGACACCTTGCTGAGCACAAGAGTTATCCCATCAGTGATCTCACTGTAGCAGTGGCTCCTCCTGAGAGCCGTCAGGAGGGAAAGTAATTTGCCCAAGGTCAGTAATGCAGTAAGGGACAGAATGGGATTTGTGTCCAAGCAACCCGATGGGTGTGGCAAGATGCTACGGCCCACTTTCAGTTGATCACATTTTTGAGACTACCATCGTGAAAACTGCAGTCACTACATTTCTATAACTTTCTTTCATTTTTAGACGTACTCAGTTTGTAGCTTAGACTCATTACTCTCTCCAGCTTTGACTTTTTTGGGGTGTTGATTCCCTCCATTGCTTAATAACAAAGTTTCATTCTGCCTTAGTGGGGTGAGTTTCCTCAGGCAATTCAAGGACCATAGAACTTCACTTCAAATCCTGGGGTTTGTAAAAATTAAAGGGGTAAATTTCATGTGAAATTATGTTGTAAATCATAAAGCATGGTAAAATTTAAAATTACGAGCTCTTTTTTTATTCTCTTGACCAAATAGTGTATTTGTAAGACACACAGTATAAACTTAAAACATGCAGGTGTATATAACTGTAGATAATAATATTTTTATGTCTTTCTAGTTAGACTTCATACATGAGTCATCTGGCCAGATTTTTATTTAAATTTGTTTACTTTGCTTGAGTATGGAATTATAAAACTCAGTATCTCTATATGTGCCTAAGAAGGCAGTTAACATTGAAACGTAGAAAGTTTCGTTGCAACAAATTGAAGGTGATATTAGGAGTTTACAAAGGTGATTATCCAAATTATGGGAGGCATTAGGAGCAAAGTGTTTCTCCTGGAATTCAGTGATATACAATGATAGCATGTTGAGCTTTGTAATTCGTCTTTGCCACATACTTGTGTTGTCTGGTATGCAGTAGGACCACCCTTTTCACAGGGAGTCACCCTCCGGTTAGGATAGAAAATGTTCTTGACACAACTCATTTCCGCTTTACATTTAAGTGCCTGGTTTGGGAAATGGCTATCCTGAAACTATTTGACCACAAGCTAGTCAGACCTTCAGTGGCAAGGTTTAAATGTGTCATGATAGCTTTAGAGTGTGCCATGTCTCAGCTTTGGAAATCTGATTAAAGAAGGAATACTAACATAAGAAAAAATAAGTTTAGGGGTAAAATATATCTCAAATGCATTACCCTAGAATGGACACTTTATTGCCATATTTGTATGAAAAACAAGTGAATTCAGAAAGGACTAAGTGGTATCCTTTCTGTTAATTGGAACTGTTTTCCCCTATAGTTGAACTTAAGGAAGGCACAAGCATGAGGAAGTGAAATATACACACATATTTCAAATGACTTCTTTCTTTCCTTTTATCATGAAATAAGTCCATCAAAAAGAAACATGATACTGTGATGACAAAATAGATTTCCTTTAGAGTGTTAGGTGCCCCTTTGGTGATACTGTCCTTTTTTTGGTCTTGAAATATCTTCTGCTCTTATTCTTCATACTTTAAAGAGGATTGTCCTTTAGAAAAGAGAAATGAATATGAAACCTAGTGTTAGTTTCAGCTGGGAAGATTTCAAAGTTTGGCTAATGTTTAATGGTGTACTTTGATAATACTATCTAGTTACAGAATAGCACTCTCTTGATAGTAAGGACTCAGTCTGGTATGCAGGGACACCTTCTAAAAGGAGCAAAGAAACAAACTGTTCTTTGTACAAAATGCACTTTGACCCATAAACTGAAAATAGTAAAGAGAATTAATAGCAGCATGAAAATTTCTAGTAAAACTTGTTTGAGGGTGAGGTTGGAGAGAATTGGCTTATAGTAGATAGGAGTGACTAAATTACTTAATGAAAAATAAAACTAAAGTTATAATTTTGTAATTAAATTTTTTTTCTAAAATAGGAAAGATGAGAATGAAGTGAGCAGAGAATCTCACAGGAAAATAAAGAGGGGTGATAAACTGAAGGAAGGAGTGGAAAATCAGAAAAGGTTTAATAGAAAGAAACAAAAGATGCCAAAATTTATATTTACAATCTTGAGTTTGTTGGATATTCACCTGAGAATGGGTTAAGGAAAAATTACTAAGAAAAGTAGCCATCTAAAAATCATAGAAATGCTTTCTCTTCTTGAGGAGAGCAAGTAAATGTATTATAATTTGTTAACATCTCTTCTGTGGAGAAGGGGAGGTGGGAGACAGAAGAGTTAAGAGAGTGCTCCATCTGTCTCCCTCTCACTCCCTCCTTTCACTCCCCACTGCCCTCTCTTCATATTAAGAATCAGAAATAAAAAATAAAAATAAAAAAAAGAATCAGAAATAAATCTGGTTCAAACAACTTTAGGAAGATACTCAAAAATCCTATGACTGTTAGAGACATGATCTTTAAAAACAAGCAGTATGATATCATGCAGTGGTTCTCAACCAGAGGGATTTAGTCCCCTAAGGGACATTTGCCAATGTCTACAGACATTTTTGATTGTCTTGACTTAGGAGGTGTACTGGCATCTAGTGGGTAGGCCAGGGATGCGGCTAAATATCCTGCAATGCAAGGACAGTCCCCCAAAACAAAGAATTTTCTGGCTCATTGTCAATAGTGTTGACGTTGAGAAATCCTGGTGTAGTGGAGATAGATAGCATGGCTCTGGAACCAGACAGAAATGGGTCTGAATCCCAGCTCTACCTCTTATTAGCTATATGACCTTGAATACAGATACAATGATATGTCAAAAATAAGTAAATATAATTTGGCTGAATGAATAAATTAATTCCCTCAAGTCTCAATTTCTTCATCTATAAAATGGGAGTGGTAACACCTACCTCATTAATGAGTAAAATGAATGAGTGAATGAGATGGTTTTTAGGACTAGAGCTAAAGAATATAAAGAGCACCCAGCACAGTGCCTGGTACAGGTGAGCATTCAGCAAATAGTAGGTAAATTGATGGTGGCAGTGATAGAATTATGCCAGAGGGCTCCTCTACTTTCCCTGAAAGTTTGTCTTCCCTGAATCTGGTTACCTGAGTTCTGTTCCCCAACCCCAATCAGGTTACACGACAGATCCATGAGCATGAGCAGGAGAACGAGTTGCGGGAACAGATGTCAGGTTATAAGCGGATGCGGCGCCAGCACCAGAAGCAGCTGATCGCCCTGGAGAACAAGCTGAAGGCTGAGATGGACGAGCACCGCCTCAAGCTACAGAAGGAGGTGGAGACGCATGCCAACAACTCGTCCATCGAGCTGGAGAAGCTGGCCAAGAAGCAAGTGGCTATCATAGAGAAGGAGGTCAGTGTGCATACACATGCCTTTGTGCTGTAACCAAGCCAGGCCTGTTTCAGTCAGTGGCATCACGTGAGCAAAAGACAGGAGTGCTGTGCTTTTTGGTGACAGAGGAACAATGTTGCTTTGGTGGTGGTAGTTGAGAGGGGCTAGGTTTTATGGGGCTACTTAAAATTGCCATTAAAAGTTAAAATAGTTACTGCAGGTGTATATTACATTCTTGTCTATTCAAATATGTTCTAAGAGCCAGTCCCTTGAGGGGCTCTGGGTGCAAATAAAAAGAAACAAGAGGCTTCTATCCTGTGGAAACTTGCACAGTTCAGACCTGTTACCATGCCTGCCACACCCACAGTCCTCTTCAAAAGAAAACTGCTCTACAAATAGTCTCTTTCAGTGGTGATAGTCCCTGTCTACAATGATTGGACTAGGAATGGGCACCTGACCAGCGGCAGCGAGTAATTAATCTGGCTGTTGCTTGGATCTTCTAGGAGACATCTCTCTTCCCCATCTAGGTTCTAAACAGGAGAGGCTGAGGCAGACAGTGAGTCAAAATATTACCTTTATTACTGATAAGTGTTAGATGGGAGAAGTAATTCATGTCTGAAGGGAAATGCGCTAATAATATGTACAAAACTGAACAGACTTGCCTATCTAGGCTCTGGCAGTGCTAAACCAGTCGCCTTTCCTGCCATCCCCCCACCCACCCAACCCCCCCCCCCCCGCCATGTAAGACTTACATAGTGTGGGAAAGCAGGGGTGAACGTGTGCTCCCTGGGGCTGGGGTGACTGGGGACAGAGTGCCAGGAGTGTTTCGGTAATTAAGCTCTCTCTCCACGTGGAAGGAAACATCAGAACTGCAGATGAAGCATTCCCCCAACAGCCATCAAGCTGTGAGGCAGCCTGGCATGAAAACGTCTGCCCAAACAGGGATGATATTGATTAAAGAAACCAGTCAGATACTTTCTTGAGGATCTGATTTGATAAATATGTAGAGAGAATTGTTCAAAATGGAAAAAGTATTGATAATGGATGCTAAAGGTGAAAAGATTCATAAGGAGAACCGTGAAGCATAGATTCCCTCTGTCTCCGAAGCACCTCATCTTGCATATGTGTTGCATCTAATGGTCCCCAGAAACTTAGATTTGGTCACTTGCAGGAGCCAGTGTTTATTGGGTTATCTTTTTTTGGTCTGTGTTCTATCCATTTGGAAGACCCAAAAATGTCCCAGTGTCTGTTGTGACTGTAGCAGGTGCCTAAGAAAACAAAATGTTATTAACCATTTAGAGTGAGATTCTGGGAATAAAACTGGCCACTCGTGGTTATTTATGCATTTTTGTAATTTAATCTGTGGGCTACCAACAATATGAAAAAAGCCCTTTATTAGAATCCTTAGTTCACTTTTCATCCCATGCATTTTTTGTGTGTTCAATAAAACACGTGATGGCTTGCCTTCATATTTTTCCCATAATTGGGAAAGTATTTTTCAATGGTAAAAATTTTAAATTTTTTTAAGATACAAGAGAATCAGAACAGGTTTTTGCTTATTTTGTTTTTTATTAGTTATTTGTTCAAAAAACACTACATTATTCAGCACTTATGGACTCTTTTCATGCATTGGAGGATATAGATAGCTGAATTCTGTGTGAAGAACAATTTATCCTAGATTGTATGTCATTTTTTCAGGCAAAGGTAGCTGCAGCAGATGAAAAGAAGTTCCAGCAACAGATCTTGGCCCAGCAGAAGAAAGATTTGACAACTTTCTTAGAAAGTCAGAAGAAGCAATATAAGATTTGTAAGGAAAAAATAAAAGAGGTAAGAGTACCAATATTTGTCATCACTAAGTTGCCATTCAAATGGTTAGAACTTACAGGGCGCCTGACTGGCTCAGTTGGTGCAGCATGCAATTTTTGATCTTGGGTTATAAGTTCGAGCCCCATGTTGGGTGTAGGGATTACTTAAAAATGAAATCTTAAAAAAAAGAGGTTGGAACTTAAAATTGATTAATCTTACTTTGTAATCAATAGTCTAAACCACTGATTCTCAAACTTTATATTACCTGAAGTGCTTATTAAAATGGATTGCTAACTCACTAGAGTTAGATTTTCTGATTTTCTGATTCAGTGGGTCTGGGTGGAATTTGAAATTTGCATTTCTAACAAGTTCCCAAGTGATGCCGATGCTGCTGAATCAGGCATCAGATTTTAGGAACCATTGCTTTAACTCTAAACCATTTTTGCCTACTTCCAGTTTATTCTTCAGCGACTTCAGCCAGAGTGATCTTTCCAAACCATAAGTCTCAGAGCATCTGGGTGGCTCAGTCAGTTGGGCATCCAGCTCTTGGTTTCAGCTTGGGTCATGATCTCAGGGTCCTGGGATCGAGCCCCACGTCAGGCTCTGTGCTCAGCAGATAGTCTGCTTGAGGATTCTCTCAGACTTCCTCTGCCCCTCTCCCTGAGCTCGCTCTCTCAAAAATAAATAAATCTTTAAAAAAACAAATAAACATAAGTCTCAGCATATCACCTCATGATTTTAACATTCATTGGCTTCCCATTGCTCTTAGGAGAGATCAAAATACTAGAAGTCCCTAAGTGACCTACTGTCAGCCTCTCCTTTAGTCTCACCTCACACCACTGTTCCCCCACCTGCTTACCCCACCCCTGACTGCTGCTTCTGCCACAGTGGTCACTGTTTGGTTCTTCAAATATATCAAATTCCACTTTTCTCCAAGGCCTTTGGAGAAGACTGTTTCTTCCTACTGTTTCTTCTACCAGGATGCTCTCCCCGCCCCCGACCCCCAGTCTCTCCCTCTGCTGTTAATTGTTACTCCCCCTCCTTGTAAAACTTAGGATTGTTTATTAATACCTTAACTTGGGCTGCCTGCTGGCTCCATCGGTAGAGCGTGTGACTCTTGATCCCAGAGTCATGAGTTCAAGCCCTACATTGGGAATGGAGCCTACTTAAAAAAAAACAAAACAACAACTAACAAAAAAACCTTAAACATCATTTCCCAAGGGAAGCCTTTCCTGACTTCCTTAACCAAAACAGGTGCCTCTGGTTTCATAACACTAGTTTTCAATTATCCTTTTTTTTTTTTAAGTTATTTTGAGTTACCTATCCTACTAGCCAGTAAGTGATAAGGGCAGAGACCATGTCTTTTTTTTTTCTGCCAATGACTGTATCCCTGTGCCTGGTACATGTGAATCTCTGATAAATGAATGATTGATTCTTAGAAGTTTGGTTGAAGGCCACTAGTAGACATGGAGAGTCCTCCTAATGAACTGCAATTTGATCTGAAAGCTCAGATTTCTTGGGCGCCTGGGTGGCTCAGTTGGTTGGGCGACTGCCTTCGGCTCAGGTCATGATTCTGGAGTCCCGGGATCGAGTCCCGCATCGGGCTCCCCCTGCTCGGCGGGGAGTCTGCTTCTTCCTCTGACCCTCCTCCCTCTCATGCTCTCTGTCTCTCATTCTCTCTGTCTCAAATAAATAAATAAAATCTTAAAAAAAAAAAAAAAAAAGAGCTCAGATTTCTTCACTTCTCCCACCCATGCTTATAGGTGAATTGCCTACAGTTCCCTAGACTTTCCTCCTCATAAGACTTAGGATTTCTTATTTCTAGACTACTGGTGTATTAAGGTTTAATAAAATTCAATATGGGCATGGTTTCAGTATGTGAAATCATTTATTTGAGCTCGTATTCTAAGTTAACAATATGGAACTTATCAAGGTTCCTCTCCAATTCTTTTTTAATTAGGAAGTAAAAGCAAGTGGGTTGGGGTGAGCCTCAGGATTTTTAGTCCTGCCCAGATGAGCCACTGGTGATTGTTGGGACTGACAGAAATTTGTATTTAATCCACGCTGCCTAAATGGGAAAAATCTCTGACACTATAAGGTCTAGAAAACCAGGCTGTAGGGCGAAATAGCCCAAATAAGAAGTTTAGTGTTCTATCCATTTTCTCTGAGTTATTGCTGGGACCTCATTGTTATGTCATAATAGAAAGATATTGTTGGATCACAGAGATAACATTGATTTTTCAATGAGAAATTTTGAAATGTTCCCAACTGCACTCACATTCTTATTTCTAACTCCTTGTGTTTACTCATGCTCTGTAGGCCACATTTTGTGACTGCAGCCACCATTTTGACCTTTTCTAACACCAAGGTATTTGGAGATTGCATGAACTCAACCTGTAGAAGATTCTCTCACAGAACAGCATTCGAGAATACCCACTCAGTCCTCAGGCATTTTGGTACTCAGATTTATGAGTGCAGGAAACCACAGGCCTAAACTTATAAGTCTCTCAACATGCTCATGAGGAAAAACAAGCCTAAACTCAGTTTGAGATAGCCTCAGTAAGCCTTTCTATGCAAAGCTAATACTACTCCTTATGAAGTAAAGCTTAGTTCTGACTATTTAAGGTGGCGTGTATATTTAGATATTGATATATTTAAAGGTATTGCCCTTGGGGTAACAAAACAATCTCCATTATCCCCATTATTTGATAGACAACAGGGATGTGGGCAAAACAGGATGATGGATGGTCCAGAAATAATTCATTCTTGATTTTGGAGTGAGTTTATATGGTCACATTTGAACTTGGGTGTGCAATGTAGTGGTTAATGCCAAGCCTAATAGTGAAGTCATGGCATCAAGAAATTAGTCACCCAGCCTTCCTGTTGTGATCCCAGCTTACTCCATGCTCGAAACAGCTTTCTCTCTTGTTGATTCTGATATTTCACTTAAGACTTCACTGGAACAGGGAAGTTGAAAGTTGATTTACAAGGACTTCTTGGCTAAGTGCAAAAATAATCTAAATAGTGAGTGATGTCCACATCACAAAACATTAAGTAAAATAGGTGTTAGAATTTAAAGGAGATTTTCACTGAGTAGTTAACCAAATATTATAGGTCAAGCTTGTCAGTATGAACAAAAAAGAGTACACTGTACTTTCTCTAAAAAGGGTCTTACTTTCTCCATAAAGTAACATCATCTTAAGTGTTCTGAGTCTCTGCTTTCTTCTCTTTACCCATATAGTCTGTAATAATTATGAATTTTGTCCTTTTGGAAATATAGGTGGTTCATTTACCCTCTAATAGCAAATAAAGAATTGTTTCCTGATATTCGAACTAGTGCCATTTGCAGAGTTACCACCTGTCTGTGAAATCTGTCCACTTCTCGCGGTCTTGTCTCCTTCACTCTGTTTTCCACGAAGCAACAAGAGTCATCTTTTTGAGATGCATCTCATTGTGTCACCCCCACATGTATAAAATCCTTGTCTCCTGTGCTACAGATCAATGTCCTTAATAAGGCCTCTGATGGTCCTGCTTCATCTCATGTCACACTGTACCAAACAAACCCCTGGCCTGCTCGCTGTTCCTCGATCGCACCATGTTTCAATTAACTCACCTGAAGAGTTTAACACACTCTGTTTCCTCTACCCAGAGTATTCTCCCCTCCCCTTTCTCACTGGTTAGCTCCTACAGGTTTTTCCAATTTCAGCTTAGTTGTTACCAAGATCAAATATGTTCTTTTAAACATCCTTGTGGAACTAAGTACTTCACCTTCACAAAAGCTATCACAGTAATTTTCAGTTTGTTTCTGCAGTTCTTTGATTAATTATTGCTTCTAGACTGTGAAACCCCATGATGGTGGTTATCACGTTCTTTTGCTGACCATTGTATCCTTGTGCCTTGCACAGTACCTGTCACATGATAAGAATTCAGTAAGTGTGTGTTGATTGAATGAGTGAACCAATTATTTCCAAGGGGAGAAGCCAGAGACGTGGAAACTAACAAGCCTCCCTATCACTTATTACTCAGTCAATCAATAAACAGAAGTTGCGGGGCAGGGATATGCAGCACCAAGTCTTTGTCTTTACATTCTCAGTTGCTCTCCAAATAATTTAATCTACCATTGCAATAAACTATTAGTTCCTTTTACTTGATGACACCAGCATGTTGTTTTTTGTTTTGGTTTGGTTTTGTGAAGGAGATGAATGAGGACCATAGCACACCCAAGAAAGAAAAGCAAGAGCGGATATCCAAGCATAAAGAGAACTTGCAACACACACAGGCTGAAGAGGAAGCCCACCTTCTCACCCAGCAGAGACTGTACTACGACAAAAACTGTCGTTTCTTCAAGCGGAAAATAATGATCAAGCGGCACGAGGTGGAGCAGCAGAACATTCGGGAGGTATTTATTTTGTTCGTAACTATCATCACTGACTTATGGGACAAGAAGCTTTGTGAGGATCATGATGACTGTTCTGTCCATTCTTATATCCTTAACCTTTATGGTCTTTAGTGCAGTGCCTGACACAAAGTAGGTGTTCAAAAGTAGCCAAGAAACGAATTTACCACTGAGAAGAAAGAGAAAACCCATTTACAGAATAAGGAATCAACATTTTCCAAATAAATGTAATAGACTTTTATTGAGTACCTATTATAAGCCTTATTATGCAGTTGAGAATCAAAAGATGTAGAATAGAGAATTTCTGCCGTCAGCCTACTTGGCAGACACTTGGGGTTTTGTGGCTCCATATGAAACACTAAGTAATAAAGTGATGCTCCACAATTAAGTCATTCATTCGTCCAGTGCCCCCTTAGTGCCAGGCACTGTGCTGGAGATGTGAGGGCTAGGGAGGGTCTATCCTTCCTGCCTTCAAACAGCCCTAAGTCTAAGAAGAGAAACAGACATGTAACAGACTAGTTACAGTGTAACATGTCAGGTAGATAGATATATAAATAAAGTGTCTTGGGCATGTAGTCATGAAAGGGCTTGGAGGACTCAGTGACTAATGAGAAGTTGAGTGTTTGGGGTGTACAAAGTGGAATATCAGGAAAAGGGTAATTAGAAACAGAATGCGGAGGACCTTTTTTATTAAGGCGTATTATTTCAATTTTAGCCTGAAGGCAATTTCAATGGCTATAGGAGGTTTTTAAGCAGGGGGTCGAAGAGAGTTTTCTTTGAAAGAAGTAGTGGATCAGTGTGAAGGGAGGCTACGGCAGCAAGCAGCTAAGTACAGTAAGGTCAGCTAGGACATTCTTTCTCTAGTTCAACCTGGAAGAGGCAATGGGGAGAGATCAGATCTGAAGCAGAACTGACAATAATTCCAACCAAATGACATCAGAATTTCAGATGAGAGAGGATTTCAAAATGACTTCAAAGTTTCTAATTTGGGAAATGGGATGAATAAGACATTATGCACTGAGATGAGGAGCACAGAATGTGACTCAGTTGCAGATACAAAATTCAGTAGGAAAACATTGTGACCTGGAGTAATCAGAGAAACCCTCATAAATGAACTAGCACATTGGTAAAAATATCAAAGTTTGCAAAAAGCCCAGTGTTAGCCTGCACGAGGGAAACAAGCACTAAAGACACATTTAATGGGAATGTGCATTGGTACAGTATAAGCTCTTTGGAGAGCAGTATTCAACTGGGAAGGAGAAGGAATGAAGAAAACTAAAATTTATCAAACACGTGTAATGAGCCAGGCTCAGGCCCTTTATCTGTGTTGTCTCATCTCATTGGAAAAGGGAGAAACTGCTGAACATTTATTTTTGAGCCAGGCAATAAGTGATATGGCTAAAATTTTACTTTAGAGAGATTAGCCCAGTTTGGTTGGTGGTGATGCATAGATTGATTCAAGCATGCATTCTCAGTGGGGGCGATACTGCCCCTAGGGGAGTGAAAATGGGTTCTTTCCAGGGAGGGGTCTTAGATATTACAAAGGCTCAGGCCCCTCAAGGGCCACAGTACATAAATGGATATACAGTGTATCTGTGGTATTCACATTTCATGGTTGTGGTTGATCAGGGGAGTGGGAAGTCTAGAAAGGCTTCTGAGGAAAATAAATAAATAAATAAATAAATAAATAAATAAATAAATAAAATGGGGCAAAAAGAGAAAAAGGTTGAGAAACATTGGTTTGGGGGAAGAAACTAGAAGCAAAGTAATCAGGTGGTAGGAAATAGGGTACAGACAAAGATGGTGGTGACAGCTGTCAGAGGTAAACTGGAAACATTTTGAATATAAAATAAACAGGACTTGGCATACCATAGAATATGAGAGAAAAGACGAGGGTAGAATCAAAGTTATTTCTGGTGTTCAAGACTTGGTTACATGTAGATTTGTGCAGACACAGAGAAGCTTAGACAGAGGTGTCGGGTAAGAAACGGATTAATTCTGTACTAGACTGTTGTTTGTTAGAAGGCAAAAAAGTCCAAATGAAGAAGTCCAGAAGCCATTTGGATATAAGATATTTGGGATTGTTTTCATCTGGCAATTATTGTTATTCTGATAGCACATATTTGGAAGAAGTCTAAGGCTAAGGGAACACTTACGCCAATAAAAACTGTAGAAGACAATTATTCCCCAAAAGTGATAGAAACTATATTTTTTACTTCATTAGTGTCAGGTTCTAACCAACACTTACATGGGTATTTTCCTGAAGAGTCTAAGTTTTTCATTTTTATTTATGAGAACATTAAAGACAAACACAGAAAAATATATAGTTGAGTAGTGAAAGTTCTTGATAATTCCATTCCACCCAGTCTCTACCCTGACTGCCATTAATTTGGCATCCAGATTTCCAGATTTCCTTTTCCTTCTATATATGTATACATACATTCAGTTTATATGTAACTTTAACTTTACAAAAATAAGATTACATTTGTATCAGTGGGTTTATTTGATTTGCAAGCCATCAGAACAAACACTGGCTGCCCAAGAATGGAAAGGAATTTATTGGAAGGATAGGGGTAGATGACAGAGCTGAAGAACCAAGCTGGAGAAGATGAAGACCCAAACTGGAAAAGCAAATTCTGTGACCTAGAGAGCAAGAGCTAATGGACATTCCTCAGCATTGCCATTCGGATGTATTTCCTCCCACCACGTTTAATCTTTGTATCATTTCTGCTTGAGATTCAAATTCCTAGGGGAACGAGACCTTTATTGGGCAATGCGCTTGCTCCCTTACTCAGTACTCTCTGATTACAGATAGGGTAGAGGAGTTTTTCAAGCAAAAGAGGAGCCTGTTAACAAAAGAAGGGGAAATGGATACTCAACCTACAAAAACGTCCACTATACTGTTTTGTAACTCTTCTCTTTTTCTCATTCACCATCCAGGACATACAGCTCTGTCTGGTTCTTTTTAACCATTAACAGTGAATTTTGTGTGTGTGGCTGTAAAATTATTTATTTAATGAAGTACTTCTCAGTGGATATTTTGTTAATGTTTTACAGTATTACTAACAGTGGCACGGAGAGCATCTTTGTACGCAGATCTTTTTACACAGATACAAATATTTTGAGGACGTATGCTCAGAAGTGGAATTTTTGGGTCACAGTGTGTACATGTAAATTTTTAATAGATATTGCCAAATTGCCCTCTTGGGGTTTATACTCCCACCAACAAAGAACACCTGTTTTTCTGTGTCTTTGCCAAAACTGAGTATGAGCAATCCTTTTAGTTAATGAAAACATTGAGAAGGCTCACCATAGACTGGGTTGAGCCTCTTCCTCTATCATCACTGCACACAGATGCTGGCTATTTTCTAACCAGTTATGAAACCAAGAACTGAAACTAAGAAAGCGTAAAATGTCATAGGCTAACGACATCTCCATTTAAAAGTTTGAGTTCTAGTTCTGACTCAACCTCCCTGGGCATGAGGACACAGTTTTTTACTTGAGCGAAATCAACTGCTTTTAAAGTCAGCAGCACTTGGGTTGTGATTGGGAAGGGTTGATCACGGGACACACCCTGGATTTTACTTGGGAGGTAGAGTCCTATAAAGTATAGTCATGTGTTCAGGGTCTGCAGCGTATGACAAGTACATAGGTTGTTGTTGTTGTTGTTGTTGTTTTTAAGATTTTATTTATTTGTGAGAGAGAGAATGAGAGACAGAGAGCATGAGAGGGAACAGGGTCAGAGGGAGAAGCAGACTCCCCACTGAGCAGGGAGCCCGATGCGGGACTCGATCCCTGGACTCCAGGATCATGACCTGAGCCAAAGGCAGTCGCTTAACCAACTGAGCCACCCAGGCGCCCAAGTACATAGGTTTTGACACTAAGCTGCCTCTCAGCTTTGGGGAGCTGTGCACAATGTGTGATGTGAGCTGAGGGAAAGGAGGCCCACATGGCCGTCATCTTCTCCTGCCTCCAGGGCATATAGACGTGGAGTGCGCTGGTGAGCAAAAGCACCTATAGCATTATGTGCACTTTTGTTTTTGCTCAGCTCGTTTTATGAATTGGTCTAAGCTGAAGGTGTGCATGAAGGTGCACTGCACATCGTGCCCACAGCTTGTACAGATGGAGCAGCACTGCGCCGTACCTCGCCAGAGCAGAGGGATTCTTCAGCATATTGTGTTACAGGCTGAAAAAAAGGCATAAAACAGGAAAATATAAACCATTCGTTGGGACATCTTTCAATGGAAACTGTTGAAAACTCCCAAACCTGAGTTTTAGACTCAGTTCTGCTTTACAGAAGTTGTATGATCTTAGGTTAGTCTCTCAATTCCCAAACATCTTACCATCCTATGGAAAAGGGGTAAGTCCTTGCAATGTGACCACCTCATAGGGCTGCAAGTGGGACTGAGGGAGATATTAAGAAATCACTTTTAAAAACTGAAAGCAGGGGCGCCTGGGTGGCTCAGTCAGCTAAGCGTCTGCCTTCGGCTCAGGTCATGATCCCGGGGTCCTGGGATCGAGTCCCTCATCAGGCTCCTTGCTCAGCCGGGAGCCTGCTTCTCTCTCTCCCTCTGCTGTGCCCCCTGCTTGTGTGCTCTCTCTCTCTCTCTCTCTCTCTCTCTCTCCCTCTCCCCCCCCCCCCCCGTCAAATAAATAAATAAAATCTTTAAAAAATAAAAATAGGGGCGCCTGGGTGGCTCAGTTGGTTAAGCAACTGCCTTCGGCTCAGGTCATGATCCTGGAGTCCCGGGATCGAGTCCCGCATCGGGCTCCCTGCTCGGCAGGGAGTCTGCTTCTCCCTCTGACCCTCCTCCCTCTCATGCTCTCTGTCTCTTATTCTCTCTGTCTCAAATAAATAAATAAAATATTTTAAAAAAATAAAAATAAAAAATAAAATAAATAAAAATAAAAACTGAAAGCACATTACACATATTTATGTAAAAACAGCAATAGGCTCATAGGGAGTCTAATAATAATAATAATAAAAATATAGGCAGCTTATCAACTTAACCACAGCAACTGAGATGTATGAATTAAAGGTAAAGGGAACAACTTACAATTGTAACAGAAAAACAATTTCATTATCCTGTTTCTCTCACTTTTTTAATCATTTATGAAAAACTAGATTCAAGATATTATATGCCAGATGTTCACTTCTGAATGCAGAAGAATAATAATGATATGTTGATATGTTCTGAAGCATTGTCTCCTGGCCTTTCACCTCATTCTTCACAAGAATGGTAGTCCATGGTGTAGGTACTGTTATCCTCACTTTACACCTGAAAAAACTAAAATGTATATTAAAAGACTTGTCCAACATCATACGCGACTGACTCACACCCTGAATATTTTTCTATTGATTCTCAAACTTTAGTATGTATCAGAATTAGCTGGGTGGCATATTATTATGACCAATCACTTGTAGCCAGGTAATTCTGATGCAGGTGTTCTGTGGACAGCATCCTGAAGCACCCCATTAAACATAAAGGAAAGTATTTGACTTCTTTTGAGAGTGTTGCTTGCTTTGTGTCTTTTATTTTTTTCCTCGTAAGTTTCAGGGCTCTGGGCAGCCCAGACTAATTTTGGACTTCTCAGTTTAGGAAAGTATGTAATGAATAAATGCCCAATATTGGGAGACCTGGTACTCAAAGGTTAAAAATGATACAGTAATCTAGAAACAGGCCCTTTACCCATTTAAAAGCTTTCCATTAGGGCTTTTCTCTCGGTCATTGGCCTAGAATGGCTTTAGTCTCTGAGAAGGCCTCACCATCCTTTGGTGCCACCTAGGGGCCAGTTAGTGACTTTTAGAAGAAGACATTAGACGGTCAAGGTAGAGGAAAAGTAAAACAAGGGAAAGCAAAAGGCAAGCGAGGGTGGGGGAAAGTGCTCTAGGAGATGATCTTGTCTCCTTAAATCTAAATTGCATATATACTTTGGATATTTCCCCACTGGAAGGGGCACCTGGGTGGCTCAGTCGTTAAGCGTCTGCCTTCGGCTCAGGTCATGATCCCAGGGTCCTGGGACCGAGCCCCACATCGGGCTCCCTGCTCAGCGGGGAGCCTGCTTCTCCCTCTCCAGCTTCCCCTGCTTGTGTTCCCTCTCTGTCAAGTAAATAAATAAAATTTTAAAAAAAGAAAAAGAAAATAAGCTCCGTGAGGGGATGTACTGGTTCATGGCTCTATCCCTAGTGCCTACAACAGTGCCTGACACATAGGAAGTGCGCAACAAGTATTTGTTGAATGAATGAATGAATGGTTAGTGACTTGCTCCAATAACAGATGCTGTGCTGTTTAAAGGACTTCTCTTCAAATGGATAGAAGGCTCAAGTATGCAAGGTATTCTCAACAACACCAATATACAAATGTTACTGATATTTCTCCAAAAGTAAATGACTAGTGTTTTTTCCTGTAGTGGATGTCATCAGAGAAGAGAGGCCTCTTATTCTCACTGAAAGTCCAGCTCACAAGCTTTCTTCTTTCCTTGACCCTCTGTTGTTGTTGTTGTTTTAAGATTTTATTAACTTATTTGAGAGAGAGAGAGAACACAAGCTGGGGATAGAGGCAGAGGCAGAGGGAGAAGCACACTCCTCACTGAGCAGGGAGCCCAAAGTGGGGCTTGATCCCAGTACCCTGAGATCAAGACCTGAGCCAAAAGCACATGCTTAACAGACTGAGCCACCCTGGTGCCCTTTTCCTTGACCTTCTTAATTAGTAGTAATACCACCCTTTTCAGAAATCTTACGGCATAAATTTTTACCTCTTTTATAGCACTTATCACTTTCAACCTTGTTCTTTCTTTTTTTTAATTTACACATATAACTTATTTCCTTGTGCTAATTCAGGTTCTTCTGTTTACATGTTACAGAAATTTATCTGGGCTAGTTTAAGCCAAAACCAGGGAATTTATTATAGAAATAGAGGAATGTTTCACAAAACCCAATAGCAGTAATACAGGTAGACCTACAGGAGAGCTTAGAACCAGTTTTGAACGTGGGCATCAGCATATTCCCTGCATGTCTGTCTTCTCCCTTTTTCATTCTTGTTCTGAAGCCCAGCTTTCTCTAATCCCCAGCCCGCCCATGTAGTAGTGGATGGCTACCACATATGTAGTTTTTATATGCCCTCAGTTCCAGCCTCACATAGAGATTAACTGTCTCTGAATCCCAATTCCAAATTCTGAGGAGAGAAAATAGATTGATTCAGTCAGCTGGGAGCTGAGCATATAGTACTTCAATAAATGTCTAGTACAGTTCCCTATCAGAGTGTTAGCAAGTTCAGAACAGAATCATGGCTGAGTAAACATTTTTATGTACCCAGAGCACATGGTTCAGAAATTGGATATGGTGCGATTTAGGAAATATTCTTGAACTGGCCAGTGAAAAAATTTCACCCAACTACCTCTACTTTTTTTTCTTTTCCCCCTTAAAGAAAGACAGACATGAGTAGAACTGAAAAGAACAGAATGATTCAATCTAGAAATGATCAAACAGACTAATGGAAAAAATGAAAGGGGAGAGATCTCATCTGCTTTTTCCTAGACTGCCCTTACTCTGAGATTTTAAAAAGCAGATAATTGGCCTACTTCTAATACATGCATAAACAGGGTTTTTCCCAGAAAACCAAAAACATTGCAGACAATGCCAGTTTAAGTCAATGATTTTCAACTCTGACTACATGTTATATTCACCTGAAGAACTCTTAAAAACAGTGATGTTATCCCTTCCCCCCCCCCCCCCCCGGGACAGTTATCAGAACTTCAGGTTGTAGGATTCAGGTATCTTGTGTTTGAAAAGGGTCCTCACATGAGGCCCATATTGAGAACCCCTGGCTTAACTGAAGAAACATTTTTATTTACGCCGGTGCATAAGGCCTCACCTAAGTAGGGTTCACAGCAGCTCTATGAGGTAAGAAGGGGTCAGATAGAACCATTTTACAGATAGTGTAGTTGTGATGGCTGCAAAATCCCATTTTACAGATAGTGTACTTGCACATCTTGTAAGTGATGGACCCACAAACAGAACCTAAACCTCCAGGGATTGTTAATCTGATCTCATTAAGTCATGCTGCCAAGCACTAATGGGTTTAATTAAGAGACAGTTAGTAGTGCCATTCCTTGCCATCTTTCACTTAGTTGTGCATTCCTTCCAGTTCACCTCCAGTCATCTCTCTCCATTTGTCTTTTGTTCCTGAATGCAGGAACTAAATAAAAAGAGGACCCAGAAGGAGATGGAGCATGCCATGCTAATCCGGCACGACGAGTCCACCCGAGAGCTAGAATACAGGCAGCTGCACACATTACAGAAGCTACGCATGGATCTGATCCGTCTACAGCACCAGACTGAACTGGAAAACCAGCTGGAGTACAATAAGAGGCGAGAAAGGGAACTGCACAGAAAGCATGTCATGGAACTTCGGCAACAGCCAAAAAACTTAAAGGTAAGAGGAAACTGAAGTGTTCCCCAATTGGTGCTCCAGGATACAGTTAGACCGGATCAGTAGTTCCTGCATTTGGATGATTGTCAGATTCGCCTGGGCAACTCTTCAAAATTACAAATTGCTAGGCCCCGCACCTACTGAATCAGAATCTCTGGAAGTGAAGAACAATAGTCTGTATATAACAAACTCCTGAACAGATGTTACTTTGGAAAAACCATTGTACGGGATGACCTCCATTTTTGTGTCCATCATGCAGTTTCTCTGACCCTTTCATGACCTGCCGTCTTTAAAATTGTAATTTATGGACAAACAGCAGCCCATAGTTCTAATCCCAGGAAATTAGAAAGTTACCTAGCAGGTATATGGCAGATAAATTTCATCTGTTGTGCCAGATTATTGGTAGTAACTACTTTGAGGGCTGCTATATTGAGAAAAACTAAAGCCACATCCAAGCTTAGTAGGAAAGAGTATGATTTATTAGTGACATCTGTCATGGGCATGGGAATCGGGAGTGAATCTACATGTGCCAGACATTTATTATCCCTGCACTAGAGATTGGCCAATTCCTTTGGCCCTCACTGTCTCTAGATAATTTTCGCTGACTGCTAATTCACAAGCTCTATGGACTAAGCCATTGCGTATGTCAAGGGGTCGTTGTCCTTGTTGACACTGATAGGAGGCCAGCCTCAAATACACTGGCCGTGTTCCTGTCTAGCCATATCCTAACCTGTCTAATTAGTGATCGCTGTCATCACAACCCCAAGCATTCATGAAATACACACGTGACTCTGAGGCAACCTGATGAGTGCCTTTTGGACTTAATACAGCCTACCTCCTCCTTGCCAAAATGCGTATTTGATATTCTGCATGAAAGTATAACCTCTTCATGGGGGAAGAAATCTAAAATCACTTTTCCCTTTCCACTTGTGCTGAAATCCAATGGAAATGGGTTATGATGTTGGGTATTATCCAGATGTTCTCCTTTGTTGATTTGTCAAGGAAACACAGAGCTGTGAGAGCCACCTTATATGTTGCCATCCCCTTTCTCACTTGGAAACACGGGTGGGGGAGGGAGGTGACCAAAAAAAATGGGGGAAAAAACTATAAGAAGTAGAAGACACTGAAGATTTTTACTAGGAAGCCATTAAAATAATGAACAACCTTTAACAAACTAAGCTTCATAATATTCTACAATCTGCTTAGAGTTGTGATCCTCTTGTAATAATTCATTTTTTAAAATCCATTGGTAGAGTCAAAATTCCTTCTTTTCATTTAATATAAGGCCAAAAGTATTGGTAGTTAACTCTTGTCTGTATTATTTTCATTATTACTGACTAGTAATGTGGGTCACTGCACCAAAAGACAACTAGTCCCAGTCCCTGCATTGTACTATTAGAATGGAAGGCTTTCTGTATTTACTAATGTGTCTTTATTTTCCTTTTGTCACTTTTTCTACACAGGCCATGGAAATGCAAATCAAAAAACAGTTTCAGGACACTTGCAAAGTACAGACCAAACAGTATAAAGCACTCAAGAATCACCAGTTGGAAGTTACTCCAAAGAATGAGCACAAAACAATCTTAAAGACACTGAAAGATGAGCAGACAAGAAAACTTGCCATTTTGGCAGAGCAGTATGAACAGAGTATAAATGAAATGATGGCCTCTCAAGCGGTAAGTGGTTAGGTTTGGTGCCACAGCTTCAAGAGCTTTGGGAATCAAGAAAATTCAAGATCAAGCCTTTTATTCCCAAGATGATTCTTGCACAAATTTAGGATATTGGTGTTTTTCTGCCCAAAGAACTGAGGAAGTGACGACGCTGAATAAAGCCAAGCCAATGTGGATACTTGCTGGAGTGTGTCTTATAAGATGGAACTCAAGGAGTACCATGCTCAATCAGACCCGTGGCACATAGGGACTTTGAGGGCAAGATATGATAGATACCGCATATAATACCATGTTTTCGTTCATCAAAGATGGCACAACTAATGTCAGACACACAGACACATTCATTCAATAAACTTTTACTAAGCATCTGTGTTCAGCACTCTGCTGGGCTCAGAGATAGAGTAATAAGCTAGAGAGACAACAGTTGATCCCCATCTTCACACTTTTTGTTAGTCAAGCAAGGAGGTCAGAGAACTAAGCAATAAAAAAAAGCATAATAAATGCTTTGAAGTGGGAGGTGCGGTGGTGGGGGGGTGCTATGGGAGGATAAGTAAGAACATCTAATCTGGTCTAGGGAAAGCTTCCCAGCAAGAGCCAAGAAGCTTGAAGGAATGTACTGAAGTAAACAGCCTCCATGGAAAGGGACCTACATGGGCAAAGGTCCAGAATATGTGAAGTGTGCATTTGGGGCCTAAAAGAACTTTGGTGTGAGTCCAAATTTCAAGGAGGATTTTTGGGAGCCCAAAATGGAGAGGTCATAAAGGTCTTGGTAACCCAGGGATGGGAACTTACCTGGGATTCAGTGAAGCTTTCACAAGGAGATGAGTCTTAAGGAGTAATAGTTTGTCAAATAGGCAGAAGAGGAAAAAGTTATTTTTCCCAGCAGAGGACAGAGTAAATGCAAAGACGCAAGGTCTGAAAGAGGACCGTGCATTTGAGGAATGAGTGGTTGATATGGCAGGAGTATAAAGGGAAGCAGGTGGATAGTTGGGGATCAGACCCTCAAAAGTCGGGAGTTTGGACATCATTCTATGAACAATGGGGACCTGCTGAAGCCTATTTTAAAAAGGAAAGTGATAAGATTGGATTTGTGGTCTAGAAAGATACTGGCAGTAATGTGGCAACTGTAGGTAAAGAGACCTGTTAGGAAACTATTATACCCCAGGAATAAAAAATAATGGAACCCTGAACTGAGAACATGCTCCTAGAGATGGTGAGGAGGGAGAAGGATTTGAGAAATATTTAGGAGTTAGAAGAGATAGAGCTCAGTGACCAATTTGGGAGGTAGGTTTGATAACAGTAGAATGGGTCATCATTTTACCAAGATAAAAAAAATTGAAGGAGGGATGAGTTTGGATGCCTGGCAGATAATTGACTAAGTTTTAGACATGTTACCTGAGCTATGTGGGTATCCAGGTAGACAGGTACAGAGATGGAAATCTATAGTTCAAGAGAGTGTTAGGACACAAGACAAATAGCTAGACATCCATGTTAGATGGGGGAAGTTGTAGCTGTTGGGAATGCCTGAGACCGTCTAGGGACAGGAGATTTTATTAGGAAGGGGACTAAGGACAGAGCTGTGGACACCACCATTTGAGGGTGGAGGAGAAACAGACCAAAGGAGATGAATAATTAATGCGGAAGGGGAATTGGAGAGAGCATGTCACAGATGCCAGAACAGAAGCTTCTAGCTGATCATTTCAAATGTGGCAGAGAGACCAGTTGGACCTCGCAGTGGGTTTGTCCAATGACTGTTACAGACAATCAGTGGACTGGTCAGAGTGGAAGACACTGTAGTGCATACTACGAAAGTGAGGTAGAAAGTGTACACGAGCTTCCTTTTCCCAGCTGCTCATCAGCGAAGGGAAGGAGAAAGAACTGTAGCTAGAGGAAGAGACAGTTGAAGGAGGACTTCTGTTTTTTGAGAAAGGCTTAAACATGTTCTTAAACATGAGGTTGAGGGTAGGAATCCATGTATTCATTCAATCATTCATTCATTCATCCATCCAGTAAGTATTTATTCAGTGCCCCACTGTGCCCCAGGCACCCTGGGATACTGTGGTGAATAAGACAGTCATTGATCGTGTCTTCATGGAATTTATGGAAAAGTAAGGAAAGGCATTGAAAAAGTCTGCTCCATGTAATGGCCGAGCAAGTACAGCGTGCCAACAGAGTGTATCCTGGAGAGTAGGCTGGTGTGGAGAGTCAGAAAAGGCCTCTCAGAAACAATGAGTATTTAAGCTGAGGTGTAGGGAGCAATTCTAGGCAAAGGAATTGCATTGGTAAAGACAGAGGAAATAGTGGCACTTCTGACGAACTCAGAGTCCATTATGTTTGGAATATAGAGAATGAGACAGAGACCAAATGAGAATAAGACCGGAAGGTTAAACAGGGACCAGATTATGGAGGGGCTTGTAAACTTTCTTAAGGATTTTGCTCTTGATCCTAAAAGCAGTGGGAGGCCATTGAAGAGCATTAAGTGTGTGTGTGGGGGGGAGGTACCGACATCAGATTTGCATTTTTGAATGACCGCTCCAGTGACAGGTGGAGAGAGTGGCCTGGGAGGTGGTCAGATGGATCTCAGGAGATCATGTATAAAGTTGCTGCTTTTACCTGGGCAGGAGCAAGTGGCGGCTAGACCAGAAGGGGGCAGGCAGATGGGATGAAGGAGAAAGTCACAAAATTTGAGAGATCGGCAGGAGGTGGAAGTGAAAGCATTTAGTTACAGAGTAAACGTGGAGCATGAGAGGTTAAGGTTGACTCTAGTTTGAACAAAACGGTAGATGATGGTGCCCCTTACCTATACGGTAAAGAAGGAAGTGGAGCAGCCTGAGGAAGAGAGCAGGGAATGATGATAAGCTAATAGTCAGGCTGAGCTTGAGGGGCCTGGGCATCATCCAGGTGATGATGTCTCTAGAAGACTGGGTAAGCTGGCCTTGTGCCTCAGCAGAGAAGTCTGAAATAGAGGTGAAGAGGTGGGAATCATTCATATATAGAGGGTCATTGCAGCCTTGGGAATAGAAGAGATTCCTTAGGATGAGAAGTTAGAGGAAGAAGGGAGGGAGTAGCTGGAAAGGAGAGGAGGAAGGGAAAAACCAAGAGGGTATGGTATCTCAGAAGATTAGAGAAAGATTTCAAGAAGGAAAGGGCAATCCATGGTATTAAACGCTGCTGGGAGTTGGATAAAAGACCCCTTGCCACGTAAGTAAGGGGTAGGATGAGAAAGAGGAGTGCAGGGAGAGGTTAAGGGTAAGGAGAGGGGAGAGGGTTGGTAGGGACACCAAGGCTGATAGGATTTTTGTCTTGTTCACCTTTGTGTCATCAGCATCTGCAACAATTCCTGGTACACAGCAAGTGCTCAATGAAAGCCTGTTCTATAAGATGGACAGAATGGGATCAGAAATATAGGTTCAGGATTGCCCTTGAATAAAAGGAGAGAAATACCCTTTCTCCTGAGGCAGGGAGGAGATAAAAGTAGGTATGATAAATGCCACTATCCTTTAGTGACCCTTTCCATGTGCCAGCCACTGTTTTGGGTATGTTTTAAGTGTTATTTCATTCTTGTGCAACCCCTTTGATCTTTGAAGTAGTTACTGTTTTAACCCTAACTTACCTGCAAGGAAATTGAGGTTTATTGAAGTAAAGCCACTTGCTTAGAGCAAGATTTGGCAAACTGTTTCTGTAGAGGGGCAGGTAGTAAATACCGTAGGCTTTGTGGACCACAGGGTCGCTGTCACAACTACTCAACTCTGCTATTGTCAAACAAAAGCAGCCCTAGGTACGTAAATGAATGAGCATGTCCGTGTTCCAATAAAACCTTATTGACAAAAATAGGCAGCAAGCCAGATTTGGCCCTTGGGCCATAATGTGCCAACTCCTGGCTTAGGGGCTCACATAGTGGTAATTAGCTAAGTAGTGATGAAGCTGGCTGGGATTTGACCCCATTTCGGGGGGAGCCCATAAGCCTAGCCATACTACATTATATGGCTGCCATCACATCCTTTCATGTTAATCCACTTTAGGAAACAGACATGATATTTACCTACACTTCTATAAAACATTTTAAAGGATTTGATATATGCAACTTTGGGGTGATGAATACCAGATACTGGAATATCCTGTCTGATTTCTAGACTGGCACTTTTACAGAGTCAGAGCTAGTACAAAATCACATAGTTATGGACATTAATAATAGAATGCCAGAAATAAGAGAAGAAAGAGATGTTTCAATGGACTAAGCTGCCTATAGGGTGAGCCTCTTATCCATTTGATCAGGGCTTGTAACAATTAACAAACACAAGTAGAAAAGAACAGACTTTCATTCCCTTTATTGGTAAGGAAACTCCCATGTCAAGAGGGAATTGATAAATCTTATTGGAAGCCAGTAAACCCTTTGGCATTTATCTGTAAGGCTGTTCCTGCTGTGGAGTGACTTTTATCTTGTGTCTCTTCTCCCTCCATTTCTCATTGGGAAATGAGAAAAGAGGTATCCTCTTCGGTGGATTTTAGTGAAAGCTGGGTAGGATTAATTACTAGGAAATGCTTTGGAAATAGATTACGTTATCTATTTCATGTTCATATATTTCTCCAAAAGTACTAAAGAATACACTGTGCAGATAACTTTCTAAAACTATTCTAATAACATTTCCAGATGTTTCTTAATCAAGATATTGAGATATATTGGTAATTGTCACAAATTGTACAGATTAGGGAAAGAAGCATAAAATGGAGAATAAGTGTCTATGGAAACATGTGGATAATCTCAGCATTGACAGAACTGTCTAATTCAAGGATTCTAATCTCCTAGTTCCCAGGTGAAGTGAGGGCCTGATAAATTTAGACAAAACCAAGCCTGGGACAGGAGGATCATCAGCCACAAAACATAGACCCACTAATGGCCCCAAACCTTCACTTATGTTCATTGAAAGGTGGCTGGCTTGGTCCATTCCTCATACAGAATCGGTAGTGTGGTATGTAATACAAAGTTCAGGTGCCATAGGGAGAAAGAGGAAGTCTACCAGCCTGCTTTATAATCTGGACTTTACTGCTTCCAACCAGAGTATGCCCCTTAAGATCATCCAGGCTATCTTCTGTGGGAAAGAAATTTTGAACCACTTGAGTTTTAGATTGGCTGGCCAGCAGGATAACTTGTATAGCCAACTATAGGGACCAACATTACTTGGCTAGAAGCATAACTGTACTGTGGGATAGTCCCTAAGTGGAGTCCCAATGGAGATTGGACTCTTTTTTTTTTTAGAGCTAAGGATATCTAGATGTGTGGTGGTTTGAGGGTTAAAGATATATAAATATGGAAATGGTTCGTCAAACCCAAAATGATAACAGCTACTATTTACTGAACACTTGGTGTATGCATCTAGAACTATGCCTAGGATTTCATATGAATTCTTTCATTTAATCCTCATACCAATCTTAGTAGGAACTATTACTGTTATTTTCTTGAGAGGAAAAAAAATGAGACTTGGAGGGGTAACTTCTCAAGGCGACATACCTGAGTGAATTGTGGAGCTAGATTTCAAGCTCAGGAGTCTGCCTCCAAAACCCACAGGCTTAATCACCGGAGCATGTAGCCTTCCTGACTCCTGCTAGTGTGGTTTTAAGAAAACCAGTTTTTCTTAAGAATGTTTTCGTTTTCTTAAGAAAGAATGTTTTAAGAATGTGTTTGTAGAACTTTGTAGCCCATGGGGCAGAACGTACTATTTTTGATTCCTAACTCTGAATGTACCCAGGGCATCTGTTTTTCTGAGGGAACCTGTTTCAATCCAAACAAGGAAACCTCTTCCAGTAGTCACCAGGTGCTGTAAGCTAGGAGTGAATTACAGTGTGTGTCTTTTTTGCCCGCAGTTACGGCTAGATGAGGCTCAAGAAGCAGAATGTCAGGCCTTGAGGCTACAGCTCCAGCAGGAAATGGAGCTGCTCAATGCCTACCAGAGCAAAATCAAGATGCAAACAGAGGCACAACATGAACGTGAGCTCCAGAAGCTAGAGCAGAGGGTGTCTCTGCGCAGAGCACATCTTGAGCAGAAGGTATGAGAGTGTTACTCTGGGTCCCGTACAGTTGGGTGGAGGATGGACCATGGCCTAGGGAACCGCCATTTATGGAGCCCTGCCTGTGTACCTAAACTAGGCACTGTTTACGTATTACCTGCTTTTATCCTCCTATTGCCCCTGAGACGTAGACATAATCTCCATTCCACAGGCAGGATACTAAGGCTCCAAATGGTTAAATTACTCGCATAAATCTGACCCCACAGTCTAAGTTCTTTCTATTACTCTGCTAGGAAATCCTACACCTTCACAGCCAGAAGAATGGCATGGGTGACGGGGCAGCTGATAAGACATTTGTGAAAGGTGCTATGAGCTGATAGCATGGCTGCTAAATGGTATGAGGAAGCCAGATGCAGATTTGGTTTATATTTGCAGCTATTTCTATACCAAAAGAAATCAACAGCAGCGCTCTTTAAAAAAATTAAAATGAGGAGAGGCTGATATTGCCATGCGTAATAAATGTTATCAGAACTGAAATATTCATTGCTTTAAATATTGCTGAAGAATATGAAGTATAAAAAATTTCATAAAGCATCTCAAAGCTGTTAAGCACTTATTTGCTTAATCAGTTATTTGTACTTTCTTCTGGTACTTCCCTGAGACCAATGTAAGAGATTATTTTCACAGCTCCTGTTCTAGAACTAAATGGCTAATGACCCAGGAGGCATTTGCCTCTCTATGGGAAAGCAGCACAATCTAATTGTGCTTGAGTGTCTTTTAGCTTCCCCTGAGCCATCTCCTGCTGAGACAGGACACTGACCTAGATCAGCCCAGCTGCTTGGTTTGCTAGAATGGTAGTGCCAGCCCTAGGTGGGCCCCAAACATTTTTATTCTTGTGAGCAAATTTTAAATATAATGGATGACATACAAGACATTTATCCCAGGGTTCTCCCAGACCTTCCCAGTCTAGTTTACTCTGAGTTCCTATGGGTTTGTGTGTCATATGTGTGCATGTACGTGACCGTGTGTGTTTGTGGGTGCCTGCAGGGAGATCTTTTCCATTAAGAACTGTTCATTGTGCTTATTTCAGATTGAAGAAGAGCTGGCTGCCCTTCAGAAGGAACGCAGCGAGAGAATAAAGTACCTATTGGAAAGGCAAGAGCGAGAGATTGAAACTTTTGACATGGAGAGCCTCAGAATGGGATTTGGGAATTTGGTTACATTAGATTTTCCTAAGGAGGACTATAGATGAGATTAAATTTTTTTGCCATTTACAAAAAAAAAGAAAACAGAAAAAAATTCAGACCCTGCAAAACCACATTCCCCATTTTAACGGGCGTTGCTCTCACTCTCTCTCTCTCTTACTCTTACTGACATCGTGTCGGACTAGTGCCTGTTTATTCTTACTCCATCAGGGGCCCCTTCCTCCCCCCGTGTCAACTTTCAGTGCTGGCCAAAACCTGGCCATCTCTTCTATTCATAGTACACGTCACAGTATTGATGTGATTCAAAATGTTTCAGTGAAAACTTTGGAGACAGTTTTAACAAAACAATAAACCAACAACAACAACAACAAAAGTGGATGTATATTGCTTTAAGCAATCACTCATTACCACCAATCTGTGAAAGTAAAGCAAAAAAAATAATAATAATAAATGCCAAGGGGGAGAGAGACACAATATCCGCAGCCTTACACCTTAACTAGCTGCTGCATTATTTTATTTTATTTTATTTTTTTGGTATTTATTCATCAGGAATTAAAAAAAAACAAAGTTTTATTAAAGATTGAAAATTTGATACATTTTACAGAAACTAATTGTGATGTACATATCAGTGGTGACATATTATTACTTTTTTGGGGATGGGGGGTGGGTGGGGTGAAGAGATCTTGTGATTTTTAAGAACCTGCTGGCAAGAGTTTAACTTGTCTTCAGCATATTCTGATTGTATCATAATCATTTTCTGCTGTTGCAGAGGATGTGAATACACTTAAGGAGCTCACAGAATCCCAGTAGCACAAATTGGGCTTTGGCAAATCGTGTATTTTGTGTATAGAAGGAATTTAAGGAGAGGTATTACTTATTTTCATATTGTATTTTAACTGTTTCTCTGATCAAATTTTTTTACTTCCTCCTATTCCTCCCCACCTCCCTCCTTTTCCAATTCAGTATTTGGAGTTCAACACTGTCTCTCAATCAGATCATCTTGATCTTTTTCTTTATTTCCCTTCCCCTCCCTGAGTCCCATATCTTGGTCATAAATATTGCATTATTCACACTTTCAAACTGTGTATTTTCTTACAATAAAAAATGATGAAAAAAAAAAGGCTTTACTTCTTTTGCATGCACTTTAAAAAAACAAAACAAAACATTTTTCAGGTTCCAAGGAAGAGCATGATAACTGTCAGAGCTTTTAATTATATTTGTAAATAAAAGTGTTCATCACATTGCCTTGCTGTGTTATTGTAGCAGGAAGTTTCCCTTCTAGGTTCACCAGCTCATAATTCAGAGGGAGACCTGCCCTCCAGAGACCGTCCTCCCAGCCCTGGGTATTCCAAGAAGAGCCATCCGAGATTTTCAGGTAAAGCTGTGTCTTCCAAGTTCTTCTACAGGGCTGAAGATAATGTCCCACTGTTTGAAGTGGTGAACTGCACCTGTTTGCCCTTTAGAAAATGGCACATGTGCATGCGTGCGCGCACACACACACACACACACACACACACCCCAACGTGCCAGTCAGACATAGGCACATGCACTGCTGGGAAGTTACACACCCTCACGGAAAAGCAAGCTATTACAGAGAGATTATGGCCAAGTATTTGAAATGGTCCCACTGTAACGGTAGATCCCCCCATATTCTGCTTTTATTAGAATAATTTTATGTGCATAACAATGAGGTAGTAAAATATATAACTTCTAAGATAGGTTTTTGGGGTCAAGACAATTTCAGTAAGATCTCCTATTTTGAGGGTTCTAAGTCTTGGACATTGAAAATTTATCTTTAGCATGATGACCTGAAAATCATTCCTCTATCTTACAGAATGTTCAGTCATCATAGACGAATAGGACCAGTCTTGTTCACTGTGATAGACTAAAGCAGAAAGATATACTCAAATATTATAAAATAATAATCAACAGAATAATTAACAAAATAATTATCAAGTTTCCTTTTTTTCTTTAAGATCTTATTTATATTTTTGAGAGAGCATGCAAGCACGAGGGGGTGAGAGGCAGAGGGAGAAGCAGGCTCTCCGCTGAGCAGGGAGCCCGACGCAGGGTTTGATCCCAGGACTCCGGGATCATGACCTGAGCCAAAGGCAGACACTTAACTGACTGGGCCACCCAGGCGCCCTTAATTATCAAGTTTCCTAAGCAGCTTAGTTCACTGAAGTTTCTATATCAGGTACCTCAGAAAATAACACTGGAACGGGCTGGAAAGAGTACTCACAATTGTCCACGAAAAACATATCACCTGTATTGCATGCTTCTGCTTACCATCTGATGGAACACTACATGAAGCATTTTACAGATGAGGAAATAAGCTCAGACCAGGGTAAGTGGTGGCAGTGGAGTCTGAATCAAGACCTGTCTGATTTCAGAACCCACACTCCTAAGCATAGGTCACACGGCCACTCAGAAGGACATTGAATCATCAGTAAGGCAGAAAAACTTCCTATAATTTGTTTCATTTCTCTCTGTAGTGGAAAACATCTAGCTAGCTTGTGAAAAGGCTTTATTTCTGTGAGGTTGTAAGTGCTGATCTTTAGAAAAAATTTCCCCCTCTACTAGTTTGTCAGTGATGTGCCCCAAGGTAGAGTGACTAGAAAGGAGGAATGTGAGTCCTTGCTCCTAACACCTGGTACAGACTGAGTCTTTCAACTCTTAGTACCTGCATGAGGAAGTAGAATAGACTGGAACAAGAATGGCAACAAAAGAACAGCTACAAAAGAGGTACTAAGCAGCCGCCGACACCCTGCATCCTGTATTCTTCCAGCACATACTAATCTCCCCTGAGTTTAAAAAGGAAAGAACTATTGCAGGTTTGTCATATGTATTGGTAAGGGCTGCTTATGTTTGATTTGTAAATATTCACTCAGTGAGTACCTTATAAGTCCGGTGCAATGCCAGATGCTTAAGATGCATCCATATATCTTAAAGAGGAAAATGATCACACAATAATTATAAACAATCTCACATTATAAATGATCTCACATGGTCATAAGTGCTATAAGGAAAGAGGGAAGAGTAAGGAGGTATCCAAAGTGCCAAGATCAGCATACTTTTGCTTTATTCATTCAAGAAATATTTACTGAGCATCTACTGTGTGCTAGGGGGTTGTAGCAGTAAATAGGATGGATTGGGTCACTACTCTGCTGAAGCTCATGGTTTAAATCTCCACTGAAACAAGTAAATCAGGGGACTAAGTTAATCAACAGTAGACAAGCCATGACAATGCAAGTGGTGGGTACTACCAGGAGTTTGAAGGAACTGAAACAATTACAGTCATAGGAAATATCAGAGAACACTTACCAGTGATCTCTAATTGAGTAAAAGAATTTATTTCTTGAATTTACCACCATCTGTAATTATTATGTATCTGTTGAAAAAGCATATTCTGGGGCATCTGGAAACATGCCCATGGAAGAACTCCATATCCCTCTCTGATTCTCTGATTGTAATTTAGTAATGTATTTTGCCATAGAAATGATGACATAAAAAATACATTTTTATTCTAGTTTGGCATAGCAGCATGTAAGTCTTTCCCACTGATGACAACTAAAAACTAGACCAAATGCAAAAGCGACTATCTGAGGACACTGAAAAAACAAAAGCAGGTGGATTATGGAAAATCCACGTACACAGAGGAATGAGGTGAAATAAAATCATCCTCAGATGAAGAAAAATTAAGAGAAGTTATTGTCAGAGAACTATTCTACAAGAAATGCTAAAGGAAGTTCCTCATATTGAAGGGAAATGATACCAGAAGGAAACTGAATCTCTGGGAATGAAGGAAGAGCAACAAATGGTAAATATCTAGATAAATATAAAAAACTTTTTCCTCTCCTATATTCTTTAAAATATATTGAAATATATTTTTCACTGAAAACAAAAATTATTAACATTGTTTGGGGAGGGTTTTGATGTATCTAAATGCAACCCATATGACAACTATAACAAAGGTTGGGGGTTAAAAGACGCATATGGTTACCATGCTTCTACATTTTACATGATGAATTTACAATTCTTCTAAGCAGACTATGAAAAATTAGTTATGTATATTGTAACTCCTAGAGTAACTAACAAAAACAAAAAGAAAACCCAAAGAGATGTAATAGCCAAAAATCCAATAGATAAATTGGATATTCAAATAATCCAAAAGAAGGTAGGAAAGGGAAAACATATAAATAAAAAGAAGAGCAAACAGAAAACATAAAGTGGTAGACCTAAATCCCACCATAGATAATTACATTAATTAAATATTACAGACAGAGTGAATTTTAAAAAAGGACTATTTGCTGCCTATAAGAGACAAACTAAATATAAATTTAGGTAATTCCAAAGTAAATGAATGGGGGAAAAAGTGCCATGCAAATAGGCATAAGAGGTCTATCAACTAAAATTGACTTCAAGACTAAGAGCATTATCAAAGATAAAAAGACATTCATAATGAGTAAAGGAATATCAAGAAGATATAATTTTAAATGTTTAAAAAAAATCAATTACAGGGGTGCCTGGATGGCTCAGTCCCAACTCTTGTTTTCAGGTCAGGTCATGATCTCAGGGTCATGAGACTGAGCCCCGCATGGAGCTCTGAGCTCAGCATAAAGTCTGCTTGAGATTCTTTCCCTCTCCCTCCACCCTCCACCCTCAAACAGCCCCAGTCTCTAAAATAAAACCTTTTAAAAATAATAATCTGGGGGTGCCTGGGTGGCTCAGTCACTAAGCGTCTGCCTTCAGCTCAGGTCATGATTCCAGGGTCCTGGGATCAAGCCCCGCATCGGGCTCCCTGCTCCGCGGAGAGCCTGCTTCTCCCTCTCCCACTCCCCCTGCTTGTGTTCCTGCTCTCGCTATCTCTCTGTCAAATAAATAAATACAAATCTTTTAAAAAATAAATAAAAATAATAATCTGAAAGATACAGATTCCTGAGTGGAGGGGACACCAGACTAAGATTAGCTTTCTGATGTTCATGGTCATCAGAATTAGGGAGTTGATGAAGGGGCTTTAGAGAGCTCTATAAAAACTCAAGCGTATGTGAATTTTTGTAGAAGTATACATTTGGGGAACGGGAGAAAGAACTTTTATGGTATGGTATATGGATATAAAGAAGTCCATACTCCCTAAACTTAAGAACCTCTTTACAATGATTCATTCAGCTGATGGTCATTAGATTTCTTATGTCCAATGTGGAGATATTGAGCAGGACACTGGTTGTCCTTGCCTTCAAGACTAATGGAGGAGATAAACATTAAACAAAAAAAATGACCCGAGTTGACAGATTTTAAAATTACAATGGTGGGGCGCCTGGGTGGCTCAGTTGGTTGGGCAACCGCCTTCAGCTCAGGTCATGATCCTGCAGTCCTGGGATCAAGTCCCACATCGGGCTCCCTGCTCGGCGGGGAGTCTGCTTCTCCCTCTGATCCTCCCCCTCTCATGTTCTCTGTCTCCCATTCTCTCTGAGATAAATAAATAAAACCTTTAAAAAAAAAAAAATTACAATGGTAATGTTACAATGGAGTGGTACAGGAGAATCCAGCCTAGTCAGAATTCCCTGAAGGTCAGTTAAGGGATAAAGGGTCAAAGAAAGTGGAAGAGGGAGATTCCAGGCAATATCTGTAAAGGACTAGTCTGGCTTGTCAAGGAACTGAGAGGCAGCTGGCAAGTTTGGAGCTTAATGAGAAGACAACCACAGGAAGCTAGAGGCAGACGGGGGTCACATCATATAGAGCCTCATAGGCCACTTAAGGATCTGGTCTACATCCCAGAGCAACTTAAACAGCTGATGGGTTTTAAGTGGATGCTGAGGCTGTTTGACTTAGCACCAATTTAAGAGCAGAAGTCCTTTGCTCCCTGACCCAGGAGGAGATATAGGCCAGGGGCCACCATGCTTCAGAATCTGGATCACCCACTTCACAACTAGGTGCCCTGGGGCAAGTTCCCCTCACCTCTCAAGTTTAATAGGTGAGAAAGGCTATCCCCTTGCTTCTATGCCTCCTAATATATCTTTTCCTATGTATTCTTTTCGTGTTAACTTCTTGCATATACACTTCACCTTTTTTGGTTGGGTTGACCTTTTTTCTGAACCATTTTTGAGTCTATGCCTATTTTAGACAAGAAAACTAACATACCACCATAATTCCTCATTGATTTTTTCAGTCTCTATGACTGACAGAGTACTGTGGTCAGCAGGTAAGTCTCAAAGAAAACAGGAGTTTAGAGAGGAAAAAAAAAAAAGAGTCAATGATTTTAAATACACATAAATATCAAATTGTCAAAATGTTTGAAGTTTGAGAAAACGGCTCAAGGGTATGGGGAGAAAGATACTTTCATATAGGGCGCCTGGGTGGCTCAGATGGTTAAGCGTCTGCTTTCGGCTCAGGTCATGATCTCAGGGTCCTGGGATCGAGTCCCGCTTCGGGCTCCCTGCTCCTTGGGAGCCTGCTTCTCCCTCTGCCTCTCTCTCTCTCTGTCTCTCATGAATAAATAAATAAAATCTTTAAAAAAAAAAAAAAAGATACTTTCATATACCATGGACTTGAATATAACCATGTGATCTTTTGGGAGGCTGGTTTGTCAGTTATCAGGATTGAAAACGTATATACCCTTTGACCTGATTATTTCAATGCTAGAAATTTACCCCAGTAAATTACTTGCAAAAGCACGTACACATATAGAAAGACGTTTGCGGAAGCACCGTTTATAATAGCAAACAACCAGAAGTAATCTAATCACAGTAGGGGACTAGACTGGTTAATTATGGAACATCCAGAAAATTACAGAACAAAATATTTGTTCAAAATGACGACGTGAATTGTAGGGGCCCTGTTAACTAAAGATACACTGCAGAAGGGCACATTACTTGGGGGAAAACTGCACCACAACGTATGCTAGAGCGTATAGGAAGACTGTAATTTTTAAAGAGAAAATATGTAGATATATGTCAGCTGTATGCTGATGTGGATATTCATATTTGTGTCTTCTTTCAAACTGCTGCTGAAGAACCAGGAAGGTGAAGGTGGAAGGCACTTCTTCCTGTGCTGTGTGCCTTGCCTAACCACGGGCATGTGTTGCTTCTCGCATTTAAAGAAAACAGGGTAGGGGACTCCTGGGTGGCTCAGTTGGTTAAGCGTCTGCCTTCAGCTCAGGTCATGATCCCAGGGTCCTGGGATCAAGCCCCGCATCGGGCTCCTTGCTCGGTGGCGAGCCTGCTTCTCCCTCTGTCTGCAGCTCCCCCTGCTTGTGCTCTCCCTCCCTCTCTGACAAATAAATAAAACCTTAAAAAAAAAACCAATAAAGTCAACAGGGTAGGGGGCACCTGGCTGGCTCAGTAGGTAGAACAGGCGATTCTTGATCTCAGGGTTGTGAGTTCAAGCCCCATGCTGGGCGTGGAGCCTACTTAAAAAAAAATTTGTTAAGAACAAAATAAAAAAGTTGGTGGGGTAGTTGTTTTCTTTATATAACTTTTGTTTTACAAATTATTTAAAAACTGAATTTTAAAACCCTGAAGTTAGAAAATAATTACTCTCTACCATTCCCCCATAGAGATTGCACATAACAACATTTCCAACAGTGTCTCTGGAGAAGGAACTGCAGTGAAAGGTGGGGGAAAGAGCCAGCCTTGCTTAATTAGCACCCGGCACAAACCAGGTCAGTGATGGAAACCTTCAAATACTTCCTTTCCTTTCTTTTTGGTACATCAAAGGGTGTGAAAGTACAGTTGACCCTTGAGCAACAGGGCTTTCCACTGCCTGGGTCCACTTACGTGGGGACTTTTCTCAGTACAGGACTGTAAATGTATTTTCTCTTCCTTATAATTTCCTTAATGACGTTTTCTTTTCTCTAGCTTAGCTTACTTCATTGTAAGAATATAGCGTATGATACATATAACACACAAAATGTGTTATTTGTTATCAGTAAGGCTTCCAGTCAACAGTAGGCTCTCTGCAGTTAAGTTTTGGGGGAATGAAAAGTTATACACAGATATTCGACTGCACAGGGCGGTCGGTGCCCCTAATCCCCACGCTGTTCAAGGATCAACTCTAATCTCCCCCACCCACCCTTCTGCCTTTTGGGTGCAGATTCTATATGGATCACAAGTCAGAACAGTGAAAGGTATAGCCTAGTTCTAAGTCACTGTTAACAACACCAAGGGGGAAGGTTTCCCACTGGTTTCACTCTCAGGTGAAAAAGGACCACTTGTGAAAAGCAAAGGTACTTTTTGGGCCAAAAGGAGTTGGCCTAAAATTTTTTCATTTTTTTTTTCAAACCTTCAAGTTGGAACGGTCACTCCTGCTGTAGTTTGATGGCACACGTGTCCAAGCGTGGATCCTCTGAATGGTCCCTGAATCAAGTCCCAGTCGTCACTGCTGGTCAGGGAAAGGGGCTACTCACCCTTCAAGGTAGTCCCTTGACTCCCCACATTTATGAAGCCCCCTACCCCCAAAACGGCAAAATATCTGGAGACCTGGTTCAGCCACACAATGTTTTTATTTTAATTCAACTATAAGCAAACAGCAGAATTAACACAACGTTCCGCAACTCCAGATCGGCTTTTCTACAGACGAAGAGTGACCAGTTCAACTGGCACAGACTTAGGGATTTCTGACTACCCCTCACCCAGCCCTGCAGCTCATCTAGATGGCCGTGTCTTAACTGCAAAGCCACTCTCCCTATTGCTTTTTCCAGTACTGCTCTTCAAAGGAGCCAGAGTAGGACACTGACCCCTAGTAAACAGTCCGAAATGTACCATGTTGGGGGTTAACGGACACGCCAACCTCTGGCTCTCTTGGTGAGAGACAGGGTCATGAAAACATGACCCAGAAGTGCCCTCATGCACAGTTCCAGACTCAGGCTCACAAAGGCAGAGGCAATCTTTTTTTTTTTTTTTAATCTCCCTTAAAGATTCTTTGACGCTCTGCTCTATTACTATAGACCTGGTCTTTTTACCTGAATTTTTATTTCTTTAAATTCTGGGTTGCTATTCTTATATTAACAATTTGATGACCCCAACACAGTACCAAAACATCCCCCAAAATGGAGTTCAAATTGGATCAAAACATAAACGGGGGTGTGACCCTCTAGAATTATAAAGGATAGGCAGAAGGAAAAGTCACTCTAAACCACTATCTGATTGCTCAGGCCTCACCTGTGAGAATGGGAATGGGGAAGCGGAGAAATCTACATGCATCACTGAACTTGAGAACACTGGGAGAGACTTCCGGGACAGTTTCTGTCTCCTAGCATTCCCCTACTTCCCAGACAGCTGCTCATAGAGTTTGGGAACATAGTCATCCCATTCTGCCTGGTAACACGTGCCGGCCACCGGGGGCCCAAGCTCGTACTTTTTGCGGAAAGATGCCACTTTGAATTTGCCACGGTGGTCTCCAGATCGGTTGCTGAGGATGGGCTCGTCACACTTCAGTGGCCCATTCTGCTCGTAAACCAGCCAGACATAGCGGTGAAGGCCTGGAGGGAGAAGCAGGACGTAAGATGTACACACAGCTAGGCAACAGGGCTGGAGACGCCCCCATGTTCACAGGATAGTGCCAACTTGGAGGGACCCAGCCACCCCATTTACAAGAGGGGCACTGAGGACCTGCAGAGGTGGAAGGAGTCAGATCACTCGCCTGCTGACAATCTCCCAATGGCTTCCCACTGCAACTGGTGTGAAGTCCACACCCAGCTTTACGGCCTCTAAGGCCCTTGCCCACCCCTCCTATCACCTCTGCCCCTCACTCATCCTGCTCCGGGCTTCCAGCCCATCTCCCCTGGGACCTGACTGCTAGTCATTTTCCACCATCTGCATCTGAACACCCCTTTCACTTGTGTGACAATAACACTTCTCTGAAAGTCTGCCTTTTCAGTTTAGTCTCCTCACTAGAAACAGAACGCCATAAAGCAATGGTGTTGGTCTCGTTGACCGTTTTCGCCCCAGAACCTACCCTACTAGTGCCTGGTAAAACTCACTCTAACCAAGTAAGTAGCGAAGATACTGAAAAACATCTTGTTTTCAAAGGTGCTTACGTGGTCACCTTCATCTGTCAGGTATATCCATGGACGAAAACAACTATGATTTAGGCATTTTATTATATGCAAATTATACTAAAAGAGTATTTTTTAAAAAGCAAAAGGGGGAAAAAAAAAAGTCAGTCACTGAGACTTTTTTTGTTAATGAGAACATAACTCCTACTTGAGAGAATTGCTTTAGTCTCATGTGTGTACTTCCCATAATTAAACTGCCTAATTGTATAACTGACCTAGAGAACTTAACAGATCCCTGGGAAAGATGTACCTTTACCTTCCTCTTATGAACTCACGAGAGGGCCTGAGGCCATCTGAAGCTTTGGGGTCTACAGATAAAGCATGAGTCTATGGCCAACTGTTCTCGTCAGGGACCTTCCTGTACCTCCTCAGAACTAACAGGGCCCGACAATGTATCCACCCACCCCTACTTCTTTGTTCCCACAAACGAAAGCATCCTGTGATGCACAGCAAGCATTAACAGTACGTCTCCCACTATTAGCTTCATCCCACTTGGAGAGTTTCAATACAGTATGCTCTCCCTCTTTGTATGCAGAGCATGTGATACACAACACAATGCAACATAGGTATCTTCAGTATACTTCTTAAAGCCTTCCAAATCTCTTCAAGATGATACCACCCTAGATTTTCGACAGAAAGGAGCCATAAAGAGATAAAGAAGCCAATTTTTTATAATTAATTAGGATACCATGATCATTTCTGAGCTCTTTCATGGGAACTGGAAACTCAAAGATCCCACAGGGCAAAGGCTGAATGTAGAACTGAGATGGGTTAACTGTGTTCAACCCCCACCCCCGGAAGCTGTTCCAAGCTTTCTGCAACACTGCTTCCTTAGAACCCTCTCACCAACTGCCCCGCAGATAAAGGCCTAGTGGCAGAGAGGCAAAGCTAACAGAGGGTCCTCCTGACCGGAACCCAAGGTTCCAGCCACCTGACGCCACTGCAGGTCTCAAGGTCTCTGGCAGGCAACTGCCTTGGAGGTGAACTGCGCTGCCAGGAAGCTCCACTAGGCTAAGGGATCTCGGAGAATCCAGACTAAAATTTGCAGCCCTCTGGGCCAATCCTAGTGTGCACCCACTGTCCCCAACAAAGCAGCCTTTACTGACCTGTGCCTTTGGGAGGCCCAGAGCCAACATAATCGGAGAGGACTGTGCCACTGCTGATGTTGTTGCCCTTCATGTTGACCACCAGAAAATGGTGCCACTCCCTAAGACGAGGAACACAGAACGGTCAGCACCACAGGAAGTAGGTACACACTCACTGCACAGCCAGCAAATGTGCATGAAGCACATGCTCTGGACCAGGCTGCAGCGATGAAGGAGACAGACAGTCCTGCTTTCTTGGCCAGCACAAACCTCACCTGTCTGCAGAAGAGAGGGCCCGGTACCTCCCTCCCACCCTCTGACATCCTCTCGGCAGTACCTGCAAACTTTTTGGTAGAGGGCCAAGCAGTAAACGTTTTGGGCTTTGCAGTTCACACGGTCTCTGTCACTATTCAACTCTGTGGCTACAGTGTGAAAGCAGCCAGAGACAAGACCTAAGTAAGTTCTCATGGCTGTGTCCCAACAAAACTTCATTTATGAAGTTAATTTGAATGTCATGTAATTTTCCCATGTTACAAAGTATGATGATTTCAATTTCAGTCATTTAAAAATGTAAAAACCATTCTTAGCTCATAGGGTCATACAAAAAGAGGTGTCAGTCAGATGTGGCTCTCCGTTATCGTTTCTAGACTCCTGCCCTAGGGACTGAAGGGGTAGGGACTGAAGGGGTAGGAAATGCACACTCTGGCTTAAGCATGCGTGTGAACATCCCAAACTGGGTCTCCTTCTCCTGGCACAACATGTCCACAGCAAGAGGCTTACACAGTGCCAGAAGCACCAGGTCCTTTCTGGATGACCTAGTGTTCCTAATCTTGCCTCAACTTGCCTGTATTTGGGGTCCTTCCTGCTGGGAGCATCTGGATCTGTCAGGACCAAGGTGTAGAGTTTACCTGGATCAAGGCCATCCCACCCAATGCTGGTGGGCCGGTTCTTAACCTGTAGGAAGCAACCACTTTGTAGTTAAAAAGTCAGAAATGCTGAAGAAGCCAACACTCTTTGATTCCAGGTTCCTCAAAGGTAAAACACAGTAGATTATTTTTTATTTATTTATTTATTTATTTTTTAAGATTTTATTTTTTTATTTGAGACAGAGAGAATGAGAGAGACAGAGAGCACATGAGAGGGGGGAGGGTCAGAGGGAGAAGCAGGCTCCCCGCGGAGCAGGGAGCCCGATGCGGGACTCGATCCAGGGACTCCAGGATCATGACCTGAGCCGAAGGCAGTCGCTTAACCAACTGAGCCACCCAGGCGCCCAAAACACAGTAGATTATTAATAAAAGCTAAAGTGTATTGACTCCACTAAGAGCCAGGCGCTTAAGTTTAATATACATTATTTATTTTAGTCCCAACAACACTACAGGACTCCTGTCCTAGCATGTTATTAACAGAAAGAGGTGGGGTCAGGATTTCAACCCTGGAGCTGACCGAGTGCTCTCAACCACAACCTCATATGGTCTGGAATGACAGTCTCTAGATTTGGTGACCAGCAGCTTAGCTGGGCCCTGCTAAAGGGAAATCTGAATTAACTGGATACTTTAAAAAGTGCACAGGGGCGCCTGGGTGGCTCAGATGGTTAAGCGTCTGCCTTCGGCTCAGGTCATGATGCCAGGGTCCTGGGATCGAGCCCCGCATCGGGCTCCCTGCTCAAGTGGGGAGCCTGCTTCTCCCTCTCCCTCTGCCATTCTCTCCACTTGTGCTCTCTGGCTCTATCTCTCTGTCAAAAAGTGCATAGAAAATGGCCAGACTGGACAGTGAGTCTGGGAAAACGGAGGCTGCCATAGGGGCGCTTTATATTTAAACATCCACAACAATAAACCGTCAGAGCAACGTATTCACACCATTCCCCCGGAGCTTTACGCCCAACAACAGGCAAGTGTCGCGCACTCTAGTTCCCGCACTTCCGGTGCCCAGGCCCTGATCTGCTCGCAGGCCAAACGACAGAACGAGGCCGTTGCCCTCGAGCCTTCCAGCTGCAGAACGCGCTTACCTTTGGGTGGCTTCATGCTCTTGCCCGCTAAGACAAAAGGAGGAATCGCTGGGCGATGCTGGTCACCGGTTACATAATGCGTCACATGCCCTCGGGTGGGGCTTTTGCTCCCCAAACTGAGGCCCCAAATCCTGAGACCCGAGGGGAGGTCTGGGGCCGAAGGGGTGGCCACGGCCCACTACTTCTCGGCACCGCCCCCTCCCGCCCCCGCCCCCGTGCCCGCGGCCCAGGCTGTTTCCAGGCCTAGGCCCCGGTCTACGCCTTGAAGTCCCTGGAAACTAGATCACTTTCTCCTGCACGTGCCGGGTTCCCGGTGCCCGCAGGTGTCCGCAGGCCTGCGGCGTGGGCACCGCGACCCCTTTCCCTCCGAGCACCCGGCGCACAGAGGCCGGAACACCCTCCCCATCTCCGTCGGGTCCCGCCCGCCCGCCTCCACGCCTCGAACAGGTGCGCCCCCAACGCTCTCGGGTACCTGGGTGGGCGTCAGCACTTTGCCCAGCTCGTCGACCTCTGTCCCGGTGTATTTGACCTGCAGCGCATGCTGCGGCCGCTCGTCCACTTCCTGCAGGCTCAAAGGCCCGGACCACTTGCCGAGGTCCACCGGCATTGCGGAGCCGAGCTGCGCAGACAAGGGGGAAGAGTCTCTGCAGCCTGAGATGAGTCCCGCAGCTCCGACTCCCAGCAGTCCGCAAACTGGCCGGAGGAGGGGCGGGACCAGCGACCGGGGAAGCGCACGCGCCGGAGCCACAGCCCCGCCTCGCCCCGATTCTCCAATCACAGGCGAGGCCCGGCCCACCCTGCCCTCTAATTGGTCAAAGCCCGTAGCGTGGGGCGTCTCGCGCTCCCAGGTCAATGCAGTAGGTTTTGCCTTTCTTTTGCATCG